TGTAGCACGTGTGAATGTATCGTATTTCGCTGTCCTCCTAGATCTTTCGAAATATGGTAATATTTTGAAAGAAACAATGAAGAAAAGTCACGGTTGCCATGTATCAGCTTTTCTAACTAAAAGTCTCTTTTTGATGAGAGTCGGCAACATGCCAAGACCAAGAGAATCGAAAAAGAAAAAAAGCCCGCTGTCCAGAAGAAAAATGCTAAGCGAATACTAGAATATTACCATATTTCGGAACATTTCGGAGGGCCACAAAATGCAGTAAATTCACACGTGTTTCATTGGAATTCCATGTTGCGCTAAGTTCGACACCATACGAAATCCCAGAGAACAAAATTATCCAAAACTCGGCCAAGACTTCAATATTTACTCAATTTTAAGCGAACATTGGACAACTTTTTAAATTTTCAATTGTGATGGAACAAATTATTAATGGAATGTTTGTATTGGTCAATAACATCAAAATGATAGGAATGCTAATGAACGTTGTGCACCGTCAGGTTCACAAAAACATATGACAAAGGAGTCTGAGGGGCTTCACTCTGATTCCACTCTGGTACAAGAGAAATTTGGTTAAATCAATACAAACATAACTTCGCATTACCGAAACAATGTTTCCTCTTTAAGGTCCTAACCAATTTTTCTATCATCGTCTTATTGCAGGTCCTTCGACGGCCAGGAAACAGAAGGCGTCATTAATTCAAGACATTTTTAGAGGTTGAAACCTGAAGATCCTTTAATTATTACTGATTTTAGAACTTGAAGTTTTAGAAACGTTTTTAACAGTTTATATATTGATTATGCTTAGCTATAGGAGAGTGATATCTTAGCTTGGTGGAAGAGGTTTTTCAGATGTCTTGGTATTTGCATGACCTTGCATTGCGCTCGGCCTGACTTTGCTTATCCCTCTTTTTAAAATTTTAAAAAATTAATGTAACTAACTGAATTTGTGCTTTATCAGTATGCTGCTTCCTGTGCTTTCTTTTTATATTGCTACTGATCAGTTATCAGGGGGAACACTGACTGTCACACACACTTTTGACCGCGAGTAACAGTTAGTTTATTATAAGTTGGAGCCCTGGGGCTCGTTTCTCAAAAGTCCCGGTAACTTTTCGGCCTGAAATCAAATATTCAAATAGAAAAAGAAAGAATAAGAGCGCTGGTTCCGGCTAGAAAACTACTCCATTGTTTTTTTTCATTAACTGAGAGTGTTATCATGTTAGATGCAAAACTTTTGAAACCTCCATTTTGCATGAAAACAACAACGAGCCCGTTAATTATCGGGACTTTCGAGAAACGGGCCCTTGACCCCGGTTCCTGGAAAGCCGATTAGTACTAATCCAGGATTAAATATCGCTAATCGCGTAATAAATTTTAAACCATGATTAGATTCTGTTCCTGAAAGCACGATTTCTAGCCTTCTCTAAAAAATCTTCGGCCTTTCGGAACCGGAATTTTTTAATACTATAGTCAACCGCGGAAAAGTGTGTGACGGTTGAGTCCTAGTTAAAAAATTAATAAAAACAGCTATTTCTTGAATTGCACGGTGAAGCTACGAGAAGTTTTTGTCAGTAGCGATAATTACATTCAATAACAACTTTTGTGCGTCCAGGAAACCGTGAGTGGTGAACTGAACAACGTAGAATTTTCGCAACTATGTTTCATAGTTTAACCGGGCCATAACCTCTGGCTGGAGATGACTTTCATCCAAATACTGGTATCTCATGATCAGTGAGGTAGCATACTTCCTTTTTAAAATGTTTGGAGAGGAAGAAAAAAGCTAAAATGTTACTGGGACTACCTCACGTAGCACCTCCAGTTTCAACGAGTGTCGCGTCCTCGGAACCTATAAACCGACAAAACTTCGCAATTTAAACACTTTATTTTTCTCTAATAAGTAACTGTTTGGATTTTTATGCCAGTTTTTTTGGAAAGCTTAATCATTAAAAGAAAATCAGTATTCGTATAATCAGAAGTAGTGTAGTGGTACATTGCATTAAGCTTGCAAGTACCGTTTTGACTGTTTCATTGGATTTACAAATTTACATTAAATCGAGGTGTTTAATAGTCGTAGAAACACGTCTTTCCATTTACTTCTTTTGTTATAATACTTTTTGCTATTTACCGATTAGTAATCCTATAAAAGCCAGATTAGCAGAGTTTTTTCTCAAGCAAATAAAACTTTGTTGTTCTGTAGACAGTTCGTAGCTTATTCAATATTCCATTCTCACTTCAGTTATAATTAATTAGCTCATCGCAGGAATTTTGTATAATCGGTGCTCATTCCTTCGAGATCGAGCTTGCCAGTGAGGGTTATTATGCTTTGCGCCCCTCGACTATAAATTTGGCCGCTTTAATTTGCCTAAGGCCCTGTTTTCAAGGAGGGAGGGTAACCATGGTGCTAAGGTTCCCCTAGCAAGAGGGTTACCCTAGCACTCGCATATTTTTTTTTTTTACACGACGTGTTTACAAGGCAGGTAGGGTTACCATAGCGCTAGGGTAACCCTACTTGAGTGCTATTGTTACCTAGGGATAACTCACCTATACGGGTCAACTTTCCGCCGTCATGCGTGACCAGCAATCGTACCAATTTGAACGGTATTATCCAATTTCCGAGCTTAATTATAAACATCTGAAAAACAAAAAGTGATTTTTCTGTCTACGATGATAATATTTTTCCTTTTTTCGTGAATTTAACGTGTTTTCCACAGAGAACTTCAAGATTAATTCAAATTTTGGACCGTTACAAAGAATGTCAAGCATGACCTGGTTGATAGGGTAACCCAACTTTTGAAATTTGCTTGTAAACCGGAGCTAACTTTAACCCGCTTGCAAGGGTAACCCTAGCACAAGGGTAACCCTCTCTCCTTGTAAACAGGCCCTAAAACGCGCTCATTCGAATGATCGGTACTCCGGGACCACACGGTCAATTTTTGCGACCCGTCGCACCTCCCCTGGTGGCGGTTGATAACTTAAGTGTTCATCCCCGTTGCAAGCTTATTGCCTCAGCAGTCGCGGAATTTTCCAATAACTAAATATTACGCGTTCAGGTAATGAGCATGCAGTGAGGACATGTTACAGTCTTGAACCATTGACATAAATGGAAAATTAAGACCCTCCATCCCAACTCCTCGTCCACACCCGTCCCCAAGTCAAGGAAGGAAAACGTCCTTCGCATCTTCGCACGGTTTCATCCATTCCATTACATGATTTTTTCAGTACTGCTCTCACTAAGCATTCGCTAAGACTTCAACTGCTTCCGCTGACAGACTTTTACCTGACCGGTACCATTTTTGGGCGTTGAAGAACCAAAAAGCAGGTGCCGTGTTTACGGTACTAGCGATGATACTATTCTTGGGACTACTGCTCTCCCGCCATCTTGGACGTTGAAACTAACAGAGAGTTTTAACTCTCTTTTAATAGTGGGGGAAGAGAAAAAGGTTCCTTTGTTATATCTGGTGACATTCAAGCAAAAACTTGAACTGTTTGTGTTATGCATGAAACACAGAGAATTAAAAACGATCGTAGGAATGTCTTTAACGTTTCCACACGTAGCGTATTCGAATCGTTTTCATCCGTCCACACCTAAACCCTGAAACAACGGAAATACGATAGCATTCCTTATGGGGCATGCCCTGTATGACGTATTACATCATCATAATCGAAAACCACCGTTCCTGTTAGTCCACTCAATAACAATAAGCCGGCGTTTTCAAAAAACTACACTGCGGGGACCGTCTTCGATAACCTGGGTTGTTTCGTGGACGGAAGGCTAAAACGGAGAAAAAATCTCCGTTTTCAAAAATATAAGGATAAGTATGACAAGTATGGACGGGACCCAAGATGTGTATGTCAATAAGAGCGCGAATTCACGTCTAGCCTTAAATCTATCCTTTAATATTATTACAATATTTTCTTTAATCTATAATAAGTCACGATGTGATCAAAAGGAGAAAAAAAACTCCAACAAAACAGCTGACAGTCTACAGGAAAATTTTTTTTAAATCCAGGAATATTCAGTGTTTACGCAACAGGACGGCAGGAAGAAGAGGTCAGCAGAGCGCTTGTTTGTGACAGGAAAATTTCCACCGGAATGAACCGTCCATTTGAATTCTCCCCCGAATTACCGGGTTTTCCGTACAAATGGTAAGCGCTCAAGGTCTTGGTGAAATAATGAATATATGAATTTCATTTTATTGAAGCGCGGAATGAAGAATAAAAGCAGAGAAGATACCCACAGTTTAAGTCTCAACTTATACAGTTGCGAAAAGAAAGCATGAAAAATTCAGGAAAGATGGGATTCAAACCGTGACCGCCTCTGTGATGCCACAGCGCTTCACCCACTAAGAGTCCGATTGTAAAACTGACGGCACAAAAACATCAATCTATAGATTGCCACGATGAGAACACTCCAAGACCGCAGCTGACCTGTTACAGGAAAATCTTACAACAGTTTAGCTTTAAATCCATGAGTACTCAGTGCTGTTGTTTGGTAAAACGCGAACTCGGGTAGCAAGAATCCTGTTATAAATCTCACCGCACAAAAACGAAGAAACAAGTGGACATGCGCGGCTTGACTGTGCATCCGCGCCTGCGCCCTCTTTCGAGTCCTTTTACTGCAGTTTATCTTTTTTTTCTTTCAACATACTTCATTAATTTTATCGCCGGCATTTTTAGGTTTCCGCCTGTTTGTGGTATAAGCCACAAGACTGGCTGCAAAATTGGCTGCCAAGATATACTATTCAACTGACGTTAAGGGAAATTAAGGGGATTGAGAAATGGTGACTGACCGATGGTTTAACTAGCGCCATAGACTGATTTTAATCGGATTTTTGTCAAGAATTTAGCGATAAAATAAACGAGAATAGATTTCAGACTTCTGACCTTGAAAATAGGCTCATTGTGATATCTCTACTATGAGAAACCTCCCTTCCGACGTACCAAGCGAAAAGGCCTATTTTCCTTTGTGAAGATCACGACAAAACCTTGTATGTAATTTACATACAAGTTTTGTCGTGATCTTCACTTAATATCAACCTGGTGTTTTACAAAAAGATCTGTCTGAAGGAAGGTGAAGTTTAGCGGAACGTTTTTTCAAACAAAAATGTCACGCTTGTCACACAAGGTTTGTCGTCTTCTTCCCTCTCTCGTCCTGTTGCGTAAGTTCACTATTATTTTGTAAAACGTGAACTTGGGTAGCAAAGGTCTTGGTGAAATGATGAATACACGAATTTCATTTTATTGAAGCGCGGAATGAAGAAATAAATGCAAAGATGATCCCCGCAGTTTAAGTCGCAACTTATGTAGTTGCGAAAAGAAAGCCTGAAAAAATCAGACTGCCGGGATTCGAACTCTGAACACTGCGACGCGGGTGCAACGCTTCAACCAGCTAAGAGTCCTATGGTAAAACTGACCACGCAAAAACTCTAATCCATAGATTGCAACGATGTGGACACTCCAACACAGCAGCTCACCTTTTACAAGAACATCTTACAACAATTTGGCTTTAAATCCAGGAAGACTCAGTGTTATTGTTTGGTAAAACGCGAACTCGGGTAGCAAGAGTCCTGTTATAAACCTGACCGCACAAAAACGGAGAAACAAGTGGGCATGCGCGGCTTGACTGTGCATCCGCGCCTGTGCCCTCTTTCGAGTCCTTTTGCTGCAGCTTATCTTCTTTTTCAACATACTTCATTAACTTTATCGCCGGCAATGCTAGGTTTCCGCCTGTTTGTGGTATGACATCAAGAACGACGTCTGTGGTTGCCTTGGCAACATGCGGTATGGCTATAACACCGCGCTTCCGTCCGTTGACGGCCCATAGGTTTGTGTCGGAGTCAACTTCGTAAAGTAATCGTGGGATGTTGGATGCATCTCCGTGGGATGATAGCCTGGTAAAAGTTATGTGCAACTTACAAGATGAACCCGCCAAAAGATTTCCGGACTCTACTGCAGGCTTCATTGTCGAGGTTATGGTGTATAATGTCTAAAAATAAAAAAAAATGTATCATGGCTGTAAAAAAACACGACGTTTTCTCCTTTTGTGACAGTCACAAGGCAAAAGGCAGATTCAGCAAAGACAACGAGACGCCAGTGACGCAGGCGCGCGCAGATAAAAATCGACCTGGCCAATGGTAAAACGCAAATTGAGTACCGGAAGTCACCTTCAATCCCTTTTGCAAGCTCTCGCATTCTCACCGGACGCTGCTTTGTTTTTGCTAAAATCTGCCTGTTTATTACCCTGGGTGCCAGAGGCTTTTCATCTGCGGTTTCCGGTTTCGGCTAAGTCTTAAAAAGTGACCCGCCGCTCGTGTCTTCGGCCTTCGGCCAAAGACGAGTCGGCCTTCGGCGACGAAGCTCCTCGTCGCACGCGAGCCAAAACGTCTGGTACCCAGGGTACCTGTTTATGGGAAATTTAAACGCATTCCGAGCTCCTGGTTGTCGCTCACCTGAGCAAACCCATCGTCAAAAAGGCAAACCCAACCGAATCGACGTCAACAACCTTAGTGAATTAGGGTTGAAAGGGACCAACCTTGCAAGACGCGCATTTAGCGGCCTAGCAGGTTTTCGATGGGGAAGGGGAATTCGGTTGCCTGCGTCGCAGACGCTCTACACCTAGGGCGCTTTCCATTTGTCAGAACTGACCGGCCAGACCATTCCTGTCGTGATGAGAAATTCACTTTTAATCATAACCATTCAATCAGATTAGTCAAATTTTAAACAGTATACCCGAAGGAAAGGGTTTTTCGACAAAAACGTTTTGAACAAGCATTTTTCAGTGTTAAAATGATTTGTCCGCCTACGGTCCGGCTGGCCAGTTCTGACTTTTGGAAAGCGCCCCTATACAAATGGCGTGGGCCGGCTGCAACGTAGGCTATGGGTCACGTGTTCTTTCCTCGCGCGCCCTTATCTCTAGACTTGCCACAAGTCGACGTAGTTCTTATCCCGGGCGAAAAAAAAAAGCGAGCGAAGCGAGATACGAGGAAGAAAAATTTTAAAGGACTTTTGGAAAGTCTACCTTATCTCGTGCCCAAATCTCCTGTCAACAAGAGATCAGGGAACAAAGTGTTAAGGAGCGCCGGAATCATTCCTTTTGCCATTTGCACTACAGCAAAGTTACCTAAACGTTAACTGGGAACAGATACATAAATATACTTTGCGAGCCATCGTATGCATCGGGAAGTTTTACAGACGTTTGCAAAAACAGATGTGCGTGCCTAGTACGGACACTCATGCAAGACTGGAAATCTTCAGCATTCCACTCCGTAGCAATTCATTACATATGATTACCTGGGTGTTAGCCACATGAAAATCGTACAGGTAAGAACTCGTCTCGGATGAACACGTTAACATCTCCTGCAATTAAGAGGAGAAAACGGAAAAAACCGCAACAGGGTTAGTTCAGTCGGTAGAGTGCTTGACTGTTCAGTGGGAGGATGCGGGTTCGATTCCCAGGACGGACCAATACTCAGGGTTTTAAAATAACTGAGAAACGAAGGTACTGCCTTTGCGGTTAAACCTTCGCGTGGCACGGATGACCACGTAAAATGGCGGTCCCGTCTCAAAATTAGCACTTTCGTGCAAAATACATTCATACGCAAATAAAGTGCACATACTAGGGAGTTTCGGCAGCGACGTTTTCGAGTGACACACGTCAACCGGAAGTGGAGATGTTGTACTCTTCGGCCGTAATTTTGAACAAATTCTTGGACAAATCGTCTCTTACAGACACTTAACAATCCAAATTTGGTAAAGTCAAGGTATACAGTAAAAACCTACGAGTAAGAACCTACATTTTCCAGGGTTAGCCTAAACAGGTTCTTACATAAATGGTGGTTAACATAAATTTTAATAGGCTATCTAGGTTCTTAATAGGTTCTTCATTTCTTGCAAAAAATTATGTCGTTGCTAAGAAGATTTTAGTGATCAGCACCCTTAAATTTGCATACCTGATGTTGCTTATATTTTAATATGACCATAATAGAGATCTATTCTCTCATGAATTTTAATTTCTTGAGTCAAAACAACTTTATATACATGATTGTGCTGTAAAACACAATTTAAACATTTTCTCAATGACCTCAATCAAACAACATCTTTATAAGAACCTTTCTCCAAATTTTAGGCTAAAGAGGTTCTTATATAGAGGAGGTCTACATTGCAAATTTTACCCTAACAGGTTCTTAAATCTTAGGTTCTTATTCGTGGGTTTTTACTGTATTTAAAGAGAAAAAGGCTCACTTCCGGTTGACTTGCGTCGCTCAAAAACGTCGCTGTTCAAACTCCCTAATAAGAAAGGTTTCCTTTTCCAGGTGTTCAGACAGTATCGCAGTCGAAAAATTGCCCCAGTCTCCCCTCGTTTTCCCCACATACGATTTAACTCGTTCGACGCTATGTCAATACCGCGCTCTACTATCTAAACGCCTGAAGCAGGCTAAAAGAAAGGATAACGAAAAGTCGCGCCATTTTGAGCGATTTCAGGTTTTGCCGACTGATCGTAGAACCTGATTTTAATCTCCAACTATAATATCAAGTATAGAGTAATCTAAAAGAAATACAAAAACCAAAACAAATGTATAGATCGGCAAAACTGGAGAAGATTAAAGCTCGCTGCACTCAGGTAAACTGGAGAAACATCGGTCAGGCACTTTTCAAGGCCATCTCGATTAGTATGAAAGTGCGAATTTTAATTAACGCTCAGATTAGTCTCTGTTTCTTTTGTAGCCAAGATTTGGTAAATTATAACTTTTACTTTACCAATTCTAAGTTTAGAGGTTGTGACAAAAACAAACAGAATTACTCGTGACCAGGGGCCCGTTTCTCGAAAGGCCCGGTAACTTTTCGGGCCCGAAATCAAGATATTCAAATCGAAATATAAAGAGTAAGAGCGCGGGTCCTGGCTAAAAAAACTACTCCATTTTGTTTCATTAACTGACAGTTTTATCATATTAGATGCAAAACTACTGAAACCTCGATCTTTAATGTAAACGGCAACAGCTTAGCGGGCCCGTTAATTATCGGGACTTTCGAGAAACGGGCCCCTGGCCCGGAAAATATTACCTTTACACGAAAACAAGAAAAGAGTTCTGTCTTGTACTCTTCATCGTGAAAATTAAGGAGAGTTTCAAACATCCCTGATGACAACTATGCTACAAATCAAACCTTTAAAACAGAATGGTTCTCGAATGTTCCAGATTCTTACCGTGGCTTGTTTAGGAAAAAACGAGGTCTTAAATTCGCAGTCAAGTTCAGGCGGCGAACCTGCAAATTACAAGGATAAAAAGGCAAAAGGAATCGCAAGTTAGCTAAAACTGTGTGCAATGAATTCTTAAACTAATGTGTTAAAGGGCGCTTTTGATTACCTTCTTCACTCTCTAGTTTCCAGAGGAAGGACATATCTTGCTGGTTAAAGATGACCTACAATTTAGAAATCAACAAATGAGACATAAATTTGGTCATACAATACATCTTCTAAGACCTATTTTAGTTACGAACATCCTCTTTTAGACAAAAACATAACTGAAACAGCTCTTTTTGTTCTTCTTTATGCACGTAAATAGACTACTGAGTACTCACCTAGTTAACGCGCTAAGGGCGTCTTGTTCATAATTGAGATACTTCCAACACAGGGCTTTTGGCTCTCTATTTGGGGAAAGGGGGATTAAATCGCGAGGAGACGGCCAGAGAAAAAATACTACGTCTCTGGAATTTGAATTCCACCTCCAATTCCCCCTGGCTCCCTGTCGACTGAGCTTTCAGATTTCTCCCAATCAGCGCGAGGCGGAAACGAGCACGACTGTAAACAAACATTGAAAAACACGAGCCAAGGATAATGACGTCATTACAAATGTCACCTTTGCCAATCAGCATTTCGCACCTACTTTTCTATGCAGCGAGATATTCAAATTTCAGAGACATAGTTGCAAGTCCTCCTTCCTTTTCCCGCCCCGCCGCCAGAGCGCCACAGAGAGCGTGCTCGCAGGCTAGAGAAAAAATTGAAGAGGGGACGTCTAGCCCTCACCGATTTTCCCCTCTTTCTTACCATTAAAGCCTAAAACTAAAAGCCAAGTTTCAGGCCAGAACTTAGTGATGAAAACTGAGACAGGCGTAATTAAAGGAAGGGACCGCGTTGCGTCCCTCAAAATCCACACAAACCAGTAACTAAGGAGGTGGCGACCCCAGGCGGATGAGGCAACCCGCTTAGGTGGGGTAACCCGCCTGTCCATATAATCTCCCATTTTAATTTGACCGCTTAGGTGGGGTAACCCACCGCAGGTTACCTCGCCTACCTGAGGTCCCCCATCTCCATGTAAACAGGCCCTAAGTACTCACGTATTCCGAATTGTTGTGCATGGGAGTTAACTTCACAGAAGAACAGTTTGTGATAATCAGTTCAGGAGACTGGATCACCAAGTCAACTGGGTTTATACCAGTAACAATCACTTGGATAAAACGGCTGCAATGGAACAAGTGTAATTAAATTAAATCTTCACTCTTCATTAATTGACTCGACCGACGCCAGGCCGGAGAAAGAACGCTATTGAATTACTCTGGTTCAGTTGAGTTTTGCATTGTATAAAAGCATTTTCAAACAGTTTGTAAAAAACACAAACAATAAGCATATTTTTCAGATGTACAAAAAAATCCTTGAAAATATCATGGCGCGCAAAAAACGTAGCCTGAGAAAACAACCGACATTTTGCGACGTCACTAACGGTTTCCCCTCGAAATGACTTCGGAGGAACGAGCGTAGAAATTCCATACTGATGACGCCTTTATACCCAAATCTGGGTAGCGCATCTGATTGGTTGAAAATTAGCTTCAACCAATCAGAGGCACTCGCCAGATCAGGTTAGTGACACATAATCAATATGGAATTTCTGCGCTCGTTCTTCAGACCCCATTTCGCGGGCAAACCGTTGGTGGCATGTCGAAATGTCTCGCTGTTTTCTCAGGGTAAAAAAACACGGAAAAGTGAAAAAACCGCTCGCTTTTAACCGCCAACTGAGCGGTTTTTGCCTTCTGCCAAGTTAAGCTTTGGTTTAACTTAAACATGTTCCACATATTTTCGGGAGGAAATATATTAGGGAGCAGAGCACCAGTTTTAAGGATGGAAAGTAATGCGGCTTAGGTGTGGTTTTCCCATATGTAGAGAAATATAGCTGAATTAAGCAGAGTTTGGCTTAACAGAATTGGCCAGACTCAGGCATCTGCGTGTGCAAAATGGTACTTCTCAACAAGTAATGGACAAAGATTGAGTTTATCAATCAGCTCAGCCAATAAAGTACTGATTCTTCAATTATTCATTCCTCGTATAAAGGCAACAAATACCACTAAGCACACGGAACACGGAGACACTCACGTGGTTTCAGACGAGTGCAGTATGTGTCGAACAGTAAATGGACGATGAAACAAGCCGGTAAGGTCAGCGGTAACCGCGGGAGACAACCACTTACAATTACATGAAAGCTGAAAAATGAGAAGACAAATAACGAGAGTTAACTAACAGATACACTGAGCAAGGATTGAAATAACAAGTCTCTCTCGACAATTGATTACAGTCACGCCACAGGTCAAGCGTACTCCCATAGATTCCATTAATGAATCAATTATTTGAAAACTAAATCTGTTAGTAGTTGCTGCAATCAGTAACAAATTCAAATCTGCATTCCTGCATGCGTAATGAGCAGTGATTTTTTTGTTTGAAGACATTTACATCAAATTCAAGAAAACTAAGCTGGCAGAAATTTCATAAATACCTGGCGCATGAATTCACTGCTTACTACACACGCAGAAATGCAGAGATGAATCGGAAATTATCTACATCTACTAACGTATTAAAAAGGAAATAAAGGGAGATGTAAAGAATCAACCATAAGAGGACACAGAAAAAATCTGAGTGTCCGCAGATGGGATTCGAACCCACGATCCTCTGTATTCTAGATAGGATGCTCTAACCTCTGAGCTACTGAGGACTCGTTGGCGAGCAAGGGTCATTTTTGTGGGTTGGACTTGCGAACCGCATCACGCAGTCAAGCAGTCCAGTCGTCACTGCGTGGTGCGGTTCTCAAATGGCATAGGTTACTAACGTATTCTTCAAATAATAAATTCATTAATGGAACCTTGAGGGTACGCTTGACCTGGCTTGATTGACTGTAATTAATAAAAAGACAGGCAACGAGGAGTACCATACATGAAGGGTATCCAGCACCGTAGGGCGCTTTCCATTTGTCAAAACTGACCGGTCAGACTGTTCTTGTCTTAATGAGAATTTCACTCTTTATACTACTGCATGAGAAATTACTGCAATTTGATTGGCTTAGAGCAGTGGTATTTCAGCTTAATTTGAAATACCTACATGCGAAAATTACAAACCTTATAGTGGGTAGTAGTATAAACAAATAATAGCATGATTTGTACGTGATATTTGGCATAAATACCACTTGTGATATTTCAAAATTGTCCCAAAAATCACTAGCCTAACGGCTCGCGAAATTACGTATAACAATTTCGAAATATCACTCGTGGTATTTATGCCAAATATCACTACAAATCATGCTATTACCTATACTAATCAAAACTATCCAGCCAGATCAGTCAAATCCTAAATAGTATGTACGAAGGAGATGGCTTTTCAGTAAAAACTCTTGGAAAAAGGTTATTGCTTTGTCAAAACGACTGGTCCGGCCAGAGTCAGGCCATGGTCTGGCTGGCCAGTTCTGACCTTTGGAGACCGACCGTAGACTTCAGGGCCAGGACGTCAGGCCTTACTTGTTCAGACGTTGGATACCGCTATATCCACTGGCTAAGTCACAATCCAGCGGTGAAGTACTAGGGAAACCAACTGCGTTCCCCAGCGGAAATATTTTTAACCAGTGGATAGCATTATCCTCCCTTTGAACAATTTGGCCTGCACTGTAGACATCAGTCTTTGTTCTTGACAAAGAAACCAAGAGTCTGGGAAACATGCCGAACAGTATCAGAGCTGTCATTTCTTTGTAGTCTAACTCCTACTACAGACAGCTTTTCTGTCCGTCACTATTGATACTGAGTTGCTATAGATTGTATCTAATTTTACTCTTAAAGAAGGTCACAGGAGTTTTCGAAGACAGATCCAGCCTAATTGAAAGAAGGACACCACCTCAAGTTATTCTCGTTTTCTACGAATTACACTGTACACATTAGCTCTAATTTAATTGCGATCACACTCGACTATTTAACAAATAAAGAAGCCTTGACTGCGCTCTGTTCTGTGGTAAAGCATGCAGGCAACGGCTGGAGCACGAGAGAACTGTAGGGGGAAACACGAGACGTAGTCGAGTGTTTCTCCCTATTTCGTGAATGCTCTAGCCGCTTTCTACGTGTATTACAACACAATAGAGCACAGTCAAGGCCTCTTTATTTGTTTCTGTTAAATTTCCAACGCAATTCGCTTACTAATTTTCAAAAAAAGCTATTGGTAGATGGCGTGACTGCTTTAGCTCCGGGTTTTATACTTTCATAAAGCACACTTTTCAACCAATCAGAGTGCGCGTTATATCTGAACTTTATTAAAAAAAACTTATGATAAAAAACTAATAAAAACTAATAATGTGTTACAAGGACATACAGCTGAACTCGACGATTATGAAAGGTAACCCCACCTTGTATTCGGTAACTTCTTCCTGAAGACTTTGCTTCTCTAAAGGCGCCTGAATAATTAACTTTAGATCAATCTTAGCATAGGGTCCAATTGCTGGTAAAGTAACCATGGCAACTGAGATATCTGCTACGTCATCATCTCCGTGCACGGCAAGCACTTGAACGCTGTAAGGCGCACTTGTTTTGTTTTCTTGGTCCATTGAAGATTGAATGATGGCCTCGCCTGAGTGAATGGGTTCAAACGTGATCCCCCTCTTCTGAGAGGTGATCTCCAGAACTGAACCACTCGCTATAGAGCCAGGTTCAACTGAAATGCTCAAAGTAACTTGCTGAGGAAGGCCAGAGATGAGATGAAGCTCTGTTAAACAAAGAAGTTAAATAGTCTTGATTAAAGGAGCTATGTTACGAGGATATCCCTTGATTTCCGATGTAATTAATGAATTGTTATCGACCGTTGTCGAATACTATCGATTATTAATTGTATCGATTGATCACGCCAGGGTTAAGACGACAGAGGCAATTGATAATATGGACGATTGGGGTAATCACAAGCGCCTGGAAAGAACTGAATTTTTTACTCATTTAAGTCCCTATACCCACGTACAAATTCTCCAAGCTGACCTCCACACACTTCCTTAAAGAAATAACCGTATTTATTCGAATAAGCGCCCATCCTAAAGGCAGAAATAGTTAGCGCCCACCCCCTCCTCGCTCCCCTTCCACCTCCGACCCAAAAAAAATTGAATAAGTACTAATAAGAGACTTCCCCGAAGATGTAGTTTTCTTCAGGCTATTGATTTTACAGAAACTTTGCTTTGTTACATCTTCGCGTTTTGTTATTACCATTTATTGTTTTGTTGCAAAATAAACATACTATTCTTGCTGAAAATGGAGAAAATTTAATAAGCGCCCAGCCCCGAATAAGCAACCACTTTGGAGGTCAAAAAATTTCATAAGTGCCCAGGGCAATTAATGGAATAAATGAGGTAGTTGAGAGAATTTGATATCAAATAAAAGCCTTTTGCCATTGTCGATCACTTCATTAATTCCCATAACCTCTACTTTTAATAATGTGTGGATATTGTTAGGAGAAAATTGATGTTGGTCACTCTTTGGGTCCGGATTGTCCAAATCTTCCCCAAAAACTCGAGGGATTCTAGACGATCCGCACGATTACGTGAAAACCAAGCATAAAAGTACAGCCCGAAAACAACAGTTTTGAAGAATTCTCTAAAAAAAGGGAACAAACATTTCCGGGTCGTGATGGCAAGAGTGAATACGCTCCGACAATATGTACAAACCTTTGTCATGAGACCACCGTATTCGCGGAGGATCAGCCACAATTGCGAATCCTCTGGATTCTCTTGACAAAGAAAGCTGTGGCCACACAAAATCCAGTTTCCCAATCTCTACGCAGAGCTGTTTTAGATGGTAATGCCCCATTTCGGCCAACTGTGAAAAAAAAAAAAAGAAGAAGAAGAAGAACGTCAAAGATTACATTGTTTTGGCTTTCTGCGTGGTGAGCTTTCTTAGGTCATTTAACCGATCAAAAATTCATGGAATGTTAATCACTTCTTAGAGGAAACCTTAAGGCTTCTGCAACGTGAGCTTTCTTCACTAAATTAATAAATTGACCTTCAATACGACATCTACATAAAAAATCCTTTAAAAAAAGAAGAGGAGTTTTAATCAGTTTGATTTATCTATCTCTAACCAGAAGCTCAGTGGAGTATTAAGGATAGTGGAATCATTTGGGCGTGTTCTGGGAGACACAAAGCACGTCAAGTGCCGGGAACGGTGTAAGTGTTACAAACCTGAGCTGTAAGAATGTACTCATTGATGCCATATCTGAGTGGAGCATTAAAGCACTGCAAGCAACAGTCCGAGTCAACATCAGGCAACACATTCAAATCTTCTACACTCTTCACTACTGGTTTGGAGTCTGGTTTAGGTGTAGGGAGAGGTGGCCGTGGCATTTCAGCTCCGTTGCTGTCTGCTTCTTCCTCTGCAAAGATAGTAACCGTAAAATAAGCTACATAACTTGCTTGCTTTCTGTTTGCTTCCCCCAAAAACCAACAAAATTAAATCGAAGCTCAAGGCAAAGAAACTATGACTGACTGGTCTATGTAAATAGGCTCAGAAGTGGTAATCATCCCTCTACTTTTTTCTGGAACAGAGAAGAGCTCATTGCCCCGCAGAGTTACCAGCAGTCTTGGGTCAGACAATGCTCTGCCTGGTGACCGTCAGATGTGTACAACAAGGCGCTTAGAACGTTTCAATCACAGCAGATTTTTAAAGATTCATAATATTGTATTACAGTGCAGTTATTACGAAGCAAGTATTTTTCATTTTCTTAAATTACTTTGAAATTCAGCTATAAAGCTGCATAGAGGTCTTCTCGTTTCTTCAGAAATGTCTCAGGCCAGGGCTCGAAATAAGGCCCGCACGGTATTCCGGGACTAGTAGATTTTCTTGCTGGGCAAGTAACAGTTTTAAAGTTTACTTGCCCAATAGGTAAGGGTCCAGGCAACTCATCCTCTAGCAAAATCATTAACTAAGCCGAGCAGGAAGAAAAAAACGCCCGTAGGGTAGTCCGGGACTTGTAGGTTTTCTTACTGGGCAACTAACAGTTTTAAAGATCATTTGCCCAATGGGCAAGGCTCCAGGCAAGTCATCCTTTAATAAAATCATTAACTAAGACGAACAGGAATTTACCCCGGGCAAGCAAAACGTGAGAGATGCTTGCCCCAAGGACAAGGTAGAATTCAATGTTTTTTTCGAGTCCTACCAGGGCTTAATGTAGATCAGGGCGTAAAGAAACAACACGTCAAATGGCCTCTCCAGAAATATCATTTCAAGACCGCGAATTCAAAGTCCAACTGTGAAACAAATCCGCAGCAACTCATGACTATTACCTGTTGCTTGACCCTCTGGTTTATCAGATAGGTCCTCTTCAGACAGAGCAGCTGATGTGAGTCCGCTTTCCACAACTACGACGGGCGGAGATGCGGCACGGGTTCTTCTGCTTGAGCGCACGCTGCCCACACGTTTGAGTTCGTTTGTTTGAATACTGAAACTGATGCGTCCACAGGTGACCTCCTGCAAGGAAAGAGAGATCAAGACAAATAACATACTAGGATATTGTCCCACCTACCCCTCTCCTAACCCAACGTTAACACTAACTTTTTCCTTAGGTAAAAATGTTTGTTTAGGGAGGGATAGGTCGTACGTTTCCTGGAATCTTATACTGATTCTCAAGACAACGCCTACCTCAGCAAAGTAAAGTGAATTCCTAGAATTCTTTACAGGGGTAGCATTCCTACCTCTTACCTACTGAGCGTGACTTCAATCCATTAGGACTCCCGAGATCGTTCATAGCTACCTTGTTTCCGTACACAAACAGTTTTCTAAGACAGACAGTCCTCGTTTTTAAGTAAGATCGTCAGGATCGAGGGCTTACCAGTAACCTTGTTTCAAATGTATAGAGGGGGCAGGCCCCGGTGTTTTAATCGCTGCAGGAAGGGATCCGAAAAAATTCCTCCCAAACGGGTCTCCCTCACCCGCTAAGTAGACTCGGTACCTTTGAAACCAAGATGGTCACCCGTAAGGGTGGGTGTTCCATACCGACGATCTTACGAAAAAATAGGGGACTGTTAACAGTCTACTTTGGCCCGACATTGTCTTAGAGAGGTTTCAATCATATATGGAGTTAAAGAAAACGACTGAAGAACGGCAGGTACTTACTCTATGTGTCCGTTTAGGGGAGATGACTTTCTTACTCATGCTGTACCCTGCATTTTTGTTGTTTTTTACTTCGAGAGTAAGAATCGAGGATTTGCACGAAAACTCACCTCTTCCAAAGCACTAAACAACTTGAGTTTAACCTTGATGCATTCTCCTACGCTACCAATCCCCTTCATAAGGTCAATTTTTACATCTTCTACTCGTAGCAGTGGCTCGGCACGTACTATGATAGCTTGAGCTGAAAAGTGATTCAAACCAACCCATCAATACCTCTTGAAGTTGCGTTTGCGGTTCTACGGGGATTAAAATTCGTTTTGCACGACAGTGGAACCTCCATACAACGAACATCTGAATAACCAGGCTAGTCCCTAGGCGTTCTCTCTTGATCCAGTGTCCGCGCGAAGTCTGGGAGAGAGCGGGTGAGTATCTCTCGGTAACGTCAAAGCTTCGTCACAGCTCATGGTAGAGTTCAGGAATGACCGAGCCGCCTGGGGACTAGGCTGCCTAATAACCACGTTCTGTGTACAACGAGCGACATTTTTCGCTCCAGTTATAGTAAAATATATGGAAAAGAACCTTGATATAACGAAACCTCTTTACAGCCAACAAATTTTGCCAGTCTCTTAGTCCTCCGTTATATCAAGGTTCCACTGCACTTTCAAATGTTCCTAATATCCACACTGACTTGTCAACCAAGCTTTAGCCTGCGTAGCATGGTGGTTTTGGTCGGGCGAGCAAACAAGCCAAGGAGGGCGAAGGTGGGAAAGGGCAGTGAAGCTACGAGGAGATTGGGCGCGCGCTAGTTCGCGCGCGCTTTGCGGCTTCGCCGCTCAGTAGTGGACTGAAAACTTTCAGCTAAGTAATGGGACTAACCAAGGTTTACAATCGCATTGTGAAAAAAGTTTCTAAAATGAAAATGACTACGATTACGAGATTTGACTGAAAGTTTTGTCTCGTATTCTCAAAAAATGCACACTCCAGAAAGCTTCATTGTCCTTTTGATATCACAATAAAAGTTAGCACTGTTATCTTTATTAAAGGAAGTTAAGCCGTCTCCGGATCGCAAAATGATAAAACTTCTAACCTTTGAGATTTTTTTTCCGCCACTACAACATTCACGCTAAAACTCGAAGTAGAATGACGACGACTACCACGTTTCCCGCCAAAATGACGCTGATTCACGTGCGGGCGCTACTTAGTATTAGAAAATCTCGTACTCCTAGTAGTTCTCGTCCTCGAATCTAAAGCTCTCTATTATGCCCATATGTTTCGACTCTATTCATATGAGAGACCTTTAGATTCAAGGACGAGAATTAACTTAAAGTTTTCTCGCGAATTCTCAAAAAAAGGCCGACCGGGAAGTTTCATTGTACTTCTTTGTACTACTACAGTGTTAATTTAAGAAAGAAAGTGCTTTCACAGACTACGCTATGTGCTTTATTCAAATTCAGGAAAAAGATGTCTAGATAAACGCGTCTTGGGCAAATGAAAATGGCTTAGAACCAGGTTTTGTTAAACACGGGCTAAAACTCCGTATAACTAATTGGCTCTAAAGGTGTCTCCTAACTGTGTGCACGAAATGGATGACATTGCTGTTTGCATAATAAATGAACGAGGCTGTGTCTATTGTTTTTCTATCGCCCAATGAAAAGCTTCAAGGTATAGCAAGATCCCTATGTTTTCAGCTGTTCCTACCTGATTCCATTGTTTCTCGCATGACCTGTAAAAGTTCCTGAGTGTAGTAAGATCTCTTATCAGGAGCCAAGTGCCTCTCACATGCCAGTACTGCGCATGACGCCGCGTATCTGGGGCTCATTAAGGTTCATTGCCGGGAAAGGAATAAATGATTTCTCTCCTAAATAACCTCACCGGAGAAACGCAAGGTGTTCAAGGGAGTGTTATATAACAGTTAACAACAAGAAAGGACGCTTACCCAAAAGTCAGAACTGGCGGTCGGACAGGTAAATTTGAAAATGAAATACCGTAAAATTCCGAAAATAAGCCCCGGGGCTTATATTTTTCAAAGGCCCTTTTTGAGAGGCTTATTTTTGGAGGGGCTTATATTCGGAGGGGCTTATCTACGGAGGGAAATTTGCGTTTCAAAATCGATTGAGCTAGCCTTCTAGTTGAAAAGAAATTTACCGTTTTTGCCTTGTTTTACTTTGTATTTGAGGGCAATTTCCAAGTACACGCCCCCCGGGGGGGGGGTGCTTATATTTGGAAGGGCGATTTAACGGAGGGTTTTTTGCGTTACGATTTTGGGGAGCTTATATTTGGAGGGGCTTGTACATGGAGGGGCTTATTTTCGGAATTTTACGGTAGACGTTTTTAGGAGTTTCACCTTGCGTGTAAACTATTGAAGAATAGACTGAGTTAGCCAGGCAGAAATTTCCTTTACCACCGGTCTTGTCTGACCAGCCAGTTCGAATGGTAAGCGCTCTCAAATTACCCTGGGAGCCAACCACTTTACATGCGCGGTCTTAGGCTTCGGTCAAGTCTTTATAGTGACCCGCGTGCTTCGGCGCTCGTGCCTTCGCCTTCCGAAAACTTCGGAGGGAGAGAAGCGACGACCGAAAATACGTCTGCGGTTTGCAGGTTAGAGAAAAGAAAGCTCTGATGTCTAAATTGCGTCAAGCCTTTAAACGCGACGAAGCTCGACCTTCTAGACAGTGAGTCAATCTTGTCCTCTATCGTCAAACTGGTTTTCCAATCGCAAACATCGGTTTATTGATAAGCCGACGGTCATAACGGAGCCCGCTGCACGTGCACGTGCATCATGCTTTTTTGTACATTTCTTAGCCGTTGTAGCACGACTGCGACATAAACCTGCCTAATCTCACTCGCCCGCTTTATCAAGTAGGTGAGTACAATAAACCTAGATACGGTCCTTTCGGATTCAACCCAGAAAATTTCGCCGACATTTGACAAATTAAATGAAATTAAATAAGATCGATGAAGTTTGAAACTGTGCAAATCAACTTTTTAAGTGACGATTTGATTTGTTGTCATCCAGAAATTTTTTCTACCATGGCAACGTGACGTATCAAATTCTCCTCTCTATTACGCCTGGGTTCAAAATTGTATCCGAAAAACATGCATCGAATGCTCAACAAAGACCTTTCTCGATTCACGCAGAGTCTTTTTACAGTACGCTAAAATCGAGCAAGTAAAACAAAAAGCACTGCTAGCAGGGTATACTATTCGCAACACCAACAAACTGTTTGTTTTCCTTCCTGTCTACACGTGAACCCAACTGTGATACTGAAAGTTTTGATTCTAATTTTTGCAGAAAAAGATACTTATCCATGTGTTTTAACTGCTTCTGACATCTTGACAGGTTTACTAGGCACTGTGTCGCCAGAAGAGTCCATCTTTCATGTTTATACATCTTATAGGCATCAACTAACAGGGGTTCTGCGCGTTCAAATTCTCCTCGGGATCTACATCAATCATAACTCATATTAATTAGTAACAAACCAATAACAAATCATTAATTATAGGGGCAGGTTTGGCCGAGCGGTTTTAGCGCTGGACTTGTAATTCGGAGGCCCCGAGTTCAAGTCCCGCCCTGACCGCTAGCTGGATTTGTTCACGGTAGTCCCAAGTTCAAATCCTCGGCCACGCTTGCAAATAGCCAGCTGGTTTGCCCCCGGCCAGTTGGAATTCCTGACCCTTTTAAGTTTTATTTAAATTATTTGTTTCAGGCATTTGCTCAGCCCCACCGGCAAAGGTGCTACAAATACTGCCGAGGGTAAACAAAGGGCATTATTACCACAAAAATGTGGCGAGTAAAAACATTAATGCCAAAACTATCTTAAGGGGTGCCTCTTTGGGGTATCTGCCTTAACAGTGAAACAAAACGACTAACTCAAGCCAGATACCAACTCTAGTTGTCTGCTTTGGGGAGCTGTCGGTCTTATAGGAGAGTCCCTTATAAGATAGAAATGGGCCAGAGTTGAGGACTTTTCCGGCATGAGACGAACCAAATTATCATTTGAGTCGACCTTAATTGAGTTGAGTTCGACCGCTGTGTCAAACACCCAAAATTACTCAGCATCGAACATCGCCTGAGTTCAAAACAAAGACATTTTATGGCGCGAAACATTTTACAGTCGTACAGCTTTGCGGAAACCCATTTTAAACGGACAGTTTTCCAGTTTGCCAAACGAAAATCTCAAAATATTTTCTATTGAATAAACCGCATAATACGGAAACCGGGATGGAAGAGACACATTGGCATGTCCCATTCATGACTGTATGCTTCGTAATACTGCACAACATACTTTCCTTTTACAAAATCGACGACTAATTAACAATTATTCCTCGAGCCCCGAGTCAATAGCCCATGAGGCCGAAGGCCTCATGGGCTATTGACTCAGAGGCCATGAGGACGAGAGGAATAATTTTTTTAGTAAAATCCAACTAGTTGGTCAAAAATATCGAGACAAAACAACTTTAGCTAGCAAAACGCGATTCAGCCGCCATTGTTTTAAACAAGCCAAGGAGGGCGAAGGTGGGAAAGGGCAGTGAAGCTACGAGGAGATTGGGCGCGCGCTAGTTCGCGCGCGCTTTGCGGCTTCGCCGCTCAGTAGTGGACTGAAAACTTTCAGCTAAGTAATGGGACTAACCAAGGTTTACAATCGCATTGTGAAAAAAGTTTCTAAAATGAAAATGACTACGATTACGAGATTTGACTGAAAGTTTTGTCTCGTATTCTCAAAAAATGCACACTCCAGAAAGCTTCATTGTCCTTTTGATATCACAATAAAAGTTAGCACTGTTATCTTTATTAAAGGAAGTTAAGCCGTCTCCGGATCGCAAAATGATAAAACTTCTAACCTTTGAGAACTTCTTTCCGCCACTACGACATTCACGCTAAAACTCGAAGTAGAATGACGACGACTACCACGTTTCCCGCCAAAATGACGCTGATTCACGTGCGGGCGCTACTTAGTATTAGAAAATCTCGTACTCCTAGTAGTTCTCGTCCTCGAATCTAAAGCTCTCTATTATGCCCATATGTTTCGACTCTATTCATATGAGAGACCTTTAGATTCAAGGACGAGAATTAACTTAAAGTTTTCTCGCGTATTCTCAAAAAAAGGCCGACCGGGAAGCTTCATTGTACTTCTTTGTACTGCTACAGTGTTAATTTAAGAAAGAAAGTGCTTTCACAGACTACGCTATGTGCTTTATTCAAATTCAGAAAAAAGAAGTCTAGATAAAAGCGTCTTGGGCAAATGGAAATGGCTTAGAACCAGGTTTTGTTAAACACGGGCTAAAACTCCGTATAACTAATTGGCTCTAAAGGTGTCTCCTAACTGTGTGCACGAAATGGATGACATTGCTGTTTGCATAATAAATGAACGAGGCTGTGTCTATTGTTTTTCTATCGCCCAATGAAAAGCTTCAAGGTATAGCAAGATCCCTATGTTTTCAGCTGTTCCTACCTGATTCCATTGTTTCACGCATGACCTGTAAAAGTTCCTGAGTGTAGTAAGATCTCTTATCAGGAGCCAAGTGCCTCTCACATGCCAGTACTGCGCATGACGCCGCGTATCTGGGGCTCATTAAGGTTCATTGCCGGGAAAGGAATAAATGATTTCTCTCATAAATAACCTCACCGGAGAAACGCAAGGTGTTCAAGGGAGTGTTATATAACAGTTAACAACAAGAAAGGACGCTTACCCAAAAGTCAGAACTGGCGGTCGGACAGGTAAATTTGAAAATGAAATACCGTAAAATTCCGAAAATAAGCCCCGGGGCTTATATTTTTCAAAGGCCCTTTTTGAGAGGCTTATTTTTGGAGGGGCTTATATTCGGAGGGGCTTATCTACGGAGGGAAATTTGCGTTNTCATGGGCTATTGACTCAGAGGCCATGAGGACGAGAGGAATAATTTTTTTAGTAAAATCCAACTAGTTGGTCAAAAATATCGAGACAAAACAACTTTAGCTAGCAAAACGCGATTCAGCCGCCATTGTTTTGGTTTGCAAAGCCGGAGCTTTTCGCTACTAGTGGACTATAACATATAGCCTTGTAGTAGCTCATCCAATCAGAATGCAGCTTTTATAATAGACCACTAGTTGGATTTTATTAAAAACGATTGCGCGATTGCTTCGGTAGGCTGACTCGGAAGGACCGCCGAGCAATAAAACGTACAAGTTGGCAGTGAATGATCAGTAAAAAATGTTTTTATAATGCGAATACATTTAAATTTTCCGCACAAATTATCATACTTTATCATAAAAATTTTAAATGTATTTACAACTGAGTTCGTCTCTTGAGAAGGTTGACCTTCGTCCCGGAGCCCGGGTCCCGGAGACGACCTTTACAATGTTCCCTTCCTCTGAGGCGCATGGATAAAACATGTTTGTCGATCCAAATTCAGTCAAACGAACTTTACTGAGACAGATGTCGAACTCATCATGAACTTAACTCACTCAGTTTGGGTTGTCGCATAAAAACTTCGGCGTTACGCCTTGACCATAGTTAACCGTAAATTAATTTGTAATGACTCCTTCCCCTGTAATCAAAAAATTGAGCTATTTTGTTTGGTTTCAAGCTCGGCATATGTCCCTCCACTGAGAACAGTAGAAAAATAAGTTGATTTGGTTGTGGGCCCCGCCTCAAGGCAGGGCAACGAAAAATTAGTCTATAGACTCATTCAATTGTTCTCCTCCACGGAAATCTTTAGTAAAAGGCGAAAGATTTGTGCGTGTTTGAAGGAGAACCAGAGTTGCCCATGGTATTCCAGACAGAGAGCTTGTCCAATGTGAGGCGGCGAGCCATGTGGGACGAAATAGAACCATGTAATTAATGAGAACGCATGCGCATTAAAGAGACTCTAATTGTCTAAACAATCAAAGTTTTACAGTTTTATGTTGAATTCTTCCCGGTCCTAATCTGGCTTCTTCATTTGTCAATCTCTCGGTCTTCTTGCAGAGATAATTAAATTGGTTGAATTATTGAAGTTTTCGAAATAGCTGTCATCGCCTTCGTGGTTACGTTAACTCTGTAATACAGTGAAACCTCTATTAAGCGGTCGGGACCTTCCCAAGTGTCCGCTTAATGGAGGGTGTCCGCTAAATAAAGGTTTGTAAAAATTGTGCAATGTTTGTTAACGATCAACATTCAACGGTTACTCTGTACTGTGATAAAGTTCCATGTTGTTAAGGAAGCTAAGGAAGCTGTGCTGTACTTTGCGTAAGACTTTTAGGTGAACTTTGGTCGCCATGACAATTATACGGCCGAATATCGGTCTAACCTACAGTTTACAGTACGTATTTCAAGGAAGAAATCGAATGCTACTATTGTCAATTTAGTCCGGTGTCCGCTTAATAGAGGTTTTTAACAATAAAAATTCGCCAAATACAATTTATTTTAGTGTCCGTGTACGCTTAACAGAGGTGTCCGCTGAATAGGGATTCGTCATAAAGGGAAATATAAGACGTTAATTTCGGGATCCGGCTTAGTGTCCGCTTAATAGAGGGTGTCCGCTTAATGGAAATTTCACTGTATATAGTTGGTAATATGGATGTTTGATGGATTTGCTCTGTTACGTTTGCGGAAAGGAGCCCCGCCTCAAGGCAGGGCATTGAAAAATTGGTCTATAGACTCATCCACTTGTTCTCCTCCACGGAAATCTTTAGTAAAAGGCGAAAGATTTATGCGTATTGAAGGAAAACCAGAGCAACGTCCTTTCGTTCACACAGGGATTTTGCTCAATATGAGGCGACAAGCCAAGTGGGATGAAATGTAACCAATCAAAATATCAGAGGGGACGCATGCGCATCGAAAACAAGGTAAATTAACTTCTACGTTAAATTCTATTTTATGCAGAGAAGTGGGGTGAAAGGGGGCGATAATTATGCATTTTGCGGACAAACAAAATCTCAAGCATTATGTCCGTAAGTGAAGCTACTTGCTTAAACACAATACCGCTAAATACTGATTTTCCCTGTTAGCAGCACATCTTATTTACAGTAGCAAGTTTTCCTTGAGAAGTCTGTTGGGACTTTAAGATACAGAACGGCAACGGCAGTGCAAACCGTACTTGCAAATTGATTTCGCCGCGTTCTTTTCATTTTTATCGTCATTAATTCAACTCAACCAACTTGTTGAAAACAGCCGAATTCTCCCGGAATTGAATTATCAAAACCGTATCCAAGTTCAGAAGGAGAAAGAAATGAAACGGGCTACTTTGCGATGTTACACGAGGTGGTTCGCAATGAGGATTTCCTGTGCATCACAGCGTTGCAACATTGCTGCGACGTTGTCTAAAACTGTTGCAACATTATATTGTTCCAACATTGTTTCCCTAAAGATCGCGGTTGAAAATCATGTCATGTAACACCGCCTAAAATGACGTACCAGGACACTTTAAAAGAAAGGAGTTAACCAAAAAGTACGACGGACGTGCAAAATTAACGTTATATACTGCTTTTGACGTTCGCGTTCCTGTTCCCAATTTTCTAACTCCCTTTTTACTGACAAGGAAACATTTTTTAGATATGTAAACGATTTAACTTGATAAAACAGTCCAAGGAGTACCAGTTTGTTCTCATGAAAGATACTTAAACTGAAGTACAGTCGAACCTCCGCCAACGGCCACTTTTCTCGTCCCGGCGGATAAAAAATGCATTCATTGACTCTTGTTTAAAATCTCTCTACAACGGCCACTTTCTCCAGTCCCCAAGGTGGCCGTTGTATTAGTTAACTGATACTAATAACGCGTAAAAAAACTCTTCAAACAGCTGTCCAAGGGGGTTAATAGTACGGGGCCTCAGTTTCTCGTACTCAGTGATTTCAGCTACCAGTATGACTTTAACCCTTTCAATGCCAGAGTGTTTGATAGAGTTTTGTAAACTGACTCTAGCTTTTGAGACTATGGACCAAATCCTATGATGTGACCATTCAAATGAAAGCTCTCTGCGTGAACTTACACATGGCGCTATTTATTTTCCAAAATTTTACAAAATAAAACTTGGAAATTGGTCGAGATTTGCCTTTGGCTAAATTTGACAGTGAAAGGGTTAAAGATCTACGCCCGAAAGTGATCACGTGGTACTTACGAGTAAAACTGAGCTAGATCCATCCCTAGAAACCTGGCAGCTCTGTATCGTCCGATGTTCTTATAGATTGAAATTGCTAACTCTGTTAATTCCTGCAAAACAAATCAGACAGCAAGTGTGATTAATTTCAATGAAAAATATGTCCTCAAGTCGTGAAAAACTCACATAAAAGAGTACTGAGCAATCAGGGGGGTCAAACTTAAATATTCCTAAACGGTGGCATCATAACTTTGCTTTTGTACTACGATAACCAGCTCTCTTTACCTCGATCGAATCCGCAGATTTCAAACGAGCTTATACCTTGAAAAGAGGCATTTCTCTTGAAGACAAAACGATAAATAAATATTCCGCAATTTTAGAACAACTTTTATGACTTATCAGGATATCGGTTGAATGATTTCACCACGTGGGATATCAAAGGACTAGTCTTCCACGCAGACGTTGTTACGGTTTTGCCACGCGTTCCTTCCGGTTAGGGTCGATTGCCGCCGCACTCTCGGGTCGGGTCTTGTTCTGTGCCGAGAAGAGTCTTTTCGGGACGGAGCGCGGGGTCATTTCCCAAACAGCAGCTGGTAATCGGGCCTACTTCCGAGACGCTATCAAAAGAAATGGCGAGGTACGCCAGACAGATAGCAGGGATCACGTGTGCAGGGTGTTCTGCCCAAAACTTTCTGAGTGTTTGGAGACTTTACTATAACAGTGATTTTGTTACCTCTGCGTACTGCGTCCCGGACGCATACAAATCCTTAGCCTTTGTTGTGCTTTAAAGTAGAAGGACAATATTTTAATTTCAATATACTGTAGTAAAGAGTTTTGGAATTCTCTGCAGATTAACTGTCTGGTTACATGAAGGCCAAAGCATTTTCAATTTCGGATTCGTTTTTTTTTTTTTTTTTAACTGGGACTCACTGATTCTAGACTGGGACTCACGATTTTTCACAAAATGAGTCCCAGGACTCACCATAACTATTTGTAACAAAATCACTGCAGTAATGTTAACTTCCTATTCTTTAACCAACTCCGGTAAAATAGAATAACACCATGCTGAACACCTCACCAAATAAAGGGACTCAAAGGCACGCCTTGATGATAGAGCCTCTTGAAGTCTTTTAGCTGGGCTCCTGGGCTCAAGTTCTTCTACAAAACAACAAACTGGAAATTAAATTTTATCAACAACCACCTGACAATACTGGAAATAACTAAACCACATCGATTAATTAATTGACTTATACTCTTGTCAGAATAACCATCAATACAAAAAACAACAGCTATTTGGGCTCTTATAGCGAAAAATTCTGTTATATACGTTTGTCAGTAGCACAAAGAATTCATGTTTGTATGGTAAACTGTCAACCATTTTTTCAACGGCCCAGCCACCAGCACCTTGATAGCAGCTATACCTACAACGACTGAAAAGCGTTACAATTGGCTGTGATGTGCAAGCAGCCCTTTTGGGTGGGGCGAGTGAAAGTTTAGTAGGACTGGGGAGAGCAAAGAAAAATAGAGGGAACTAGAGAGAGAGGTGCCTTCACCAAAGTTTCCCTTTTAAATATGAGGAAAAACACCGAAACACAAAAAGCAGGAAGAGAGCTGCGATTAAGCTAAGAACAGTGTTTTAAGGCCTCACACTGGTGTACAGGGTTGGCGTTATAGGAATGATTTGATGGTTAGGAATGGCTTCAGTTTTTACTGTTTCGTAACTCTATAAAACAACCATGAAAATTACGATTGTCGGCAGCCATTGCTGTATCCAGAGTAATGGATATGGTTGAAGTTGTAAAAGTTAAGTGTTCAGGCTTCAGGCTTACTCCCTTGCGTTACGTTTTCCTTGAAAGAAAGTAAGCCTTCATTTATCAGTAATTTTAAATGAAAACGAAAAGGGGTTTAGGCCAAAAGGATCTATAATTCTAATCCCTTGTCTGCTGTCATAGGTTCCCCGTTTCTTATGGCTCGCTTAAACTTGACAATAGACCCTTCCACGGTTTTTACAACTTCAGATATGGGCCAGATAGTGAAAATCCATCGCCATGGCTGAAAAGAGAGCCTAAAATAGTCAAGTTTTGGGAGTGATTTGTCGAAGATAAAACTCCGCAAACTCGCACAATTTTACAGACGTTTGTAAGTCTCTAAAATTTCGCGACTTTGGGGAACCACATCTTGGCTCGCTTTAGACGTATCACTTTTAAACTTGGCAAGTTTACTAAGGGTGCCTTTCATTTTGCCCAATCAAACAGTCAGAAACCAGTGGAATTATCAAAAGAAAATGAAAGGACGTTGTTTGATTGAAACAAAGTTTTCAATCGAATTGAAACGAACCATTTGGGTTTCGACCGAAATTTTGATTACTGCTTCGCAAAGTTGTACCGAAAACGAGAATCTTTGGAAATGGAAGGGCAAATTTCGGTTGGATCGGACCGACCGGTCGAATAGGCCCACCCTTGGAGGTGGACCTCTTTGCCCGGCAAATTTCCATGCGAACAGAAGCGTTTCATTTATATATCGAACGAAATTTCCTAAGATTTTGACACAATGGAAAGCATCCAATGTTAACTAAAGGCACTCTTCTCAGCCGAGTTGACGGAATTTCACCAAATGACCCGCTGAAGGGTCTATTGGGAACTGTTAGTACTCTGTCTACTGACCTTCGCCCTGTGTTTTACCAATTCCTGACAGCAGAATACAAACAGTCTGTAGTTCAGTCTCAGATGGTGTCATATCAGGCAACAGACCGCACAGGGCACCCAGGTCATCCAACTGAAAACAAACATTCATACCAGTGTATAAAAACCATGGTGACGTGACAGAGTTTCAGTTTCAGAGGCGTCACTACCTGCATGCCAGGACGCACGTGCGTACCCCCCAAAATGATGAAAGGAGCTGTGCCACGAAATTCCGCCAAATTAGGAAATTACAAAATGCCCGTTAAATTAAGAGAAACATAAAAACAACAGCTTAAAACTTTAAAGGACGGTTAAAATAACATAACAGAAACAACAGATGCCACGGATGGGCAAAACTGAAGAAGATTGAAACGGATTGAAATTAAGGTTTTTGAAAACTGTTCAGCCTAAAAGTTTTTCAAAGTTGATCCCTGCTGCTTGCAACTTCAAACTTGATGTTCAGGAGGCATATTTGTTTGTCTCGGATCTCCGATTTTGTCATATTCCTGTAATTTCTTTGCTTACTTTAATTTCCGTAGTAATTGATGGCGAGTAATTGGCAAAATTAAACAAAATGAACTGGACTGCCATGACCCCTTGAAGATTCATAAAAACAATAGAATAACAGAGCAAAAGGATTATAAGCAATCGCCTGTGCAGCTAAGTCCGCTTAAATTGCTTTTAAATAATCCAGGCGTAGTCGATCGATAAACCAATAATCGACAACAATCGTTAGTAATCGATATCAATCTTCGATGGGTATAGATTTCCGATAGAAAAATATCGTTTGATTTCAATATTCTTTTTCCCCTCTCGACAGCCCTGCCTACCCCCACCAGTCCACAATAAGTTGTTCACCATATCAATCCTAGGTACACCACGTTATGCTGAGTTGATTTGTTATTCTAACTTCTACATCTGTGGATGAAATCCTATGGTGTCACCATTGAAATGAAACCCCTTCAACAGTACTTTAACATGGTAATAATTATTTACTACGTAGTTATAACTTTTTAATCTGTGGATGAAATCCTCTGGTGTTGCCATTTCCTTGGCAGATTTTTGCATAGTACTATTTATTTCTTAAGATTTTACAAAACGAAACAAGCGATTTTTTTTTCATTTTTACCACTATTATAACAGGCTTGATTACCAGCCGTTTCATGCGCCAATGTTCCTTCCCAGAGGAGGATACAAACCAGACTCTGAGACTCTCCAAACGCCTGGCCGGCCGAGGTTCCTAGAATGCCCTCCATTAGCGGTTAAGCCACCATTTAATTTTTCCCGGATAACTAATCATGGGTTAAAAGGGGTTCTTAGTGCTAAAATAAACCTGTTTAACTAGTTTTTCGAATGCCTACTTTTAAAAATATGACACAAGAAGTGTCATGCGCGTGTCGTGGCACAAGTGAAGTAAAAAAAACGTCAAGAAGGTGAGGAGTAAATAATTTGCAGGAAACTGCTGCTAGCAAAAACAATGCAACGCTACGAGGACTTCTAATCTTGTCGAAAGAGCATGGTTTCTCCGTGTCTATTTGTCTCTGGAGCCCGATCGTCTTTGAGGATCTCTCACACATATTTACTGAATCTCGGCCAACCTAAATCTACTGCAAAGTTCCTTGTCAGTGAAATAGTGGAGATCAAATTCGCGCTGCTAGAACTTTTTTTCGCCTCTTTATGGACCAATTCTAATTAAAGGGAACAGTAAGTCCGCCAGCTTGGTTGTGGTTGTTTTGACAAACTTTTCACCCTATAATGATTTAATCGACCTCGCTCGGTGGGTTAAATTTAACACGCAGTTTATTCCTAGATTCGGGGAAATCGTGGGATAAAATTTAGCACGCTGTCAGCGATATTTAATCCTGGATTAGAACTAATCGGCTTTCCAAGAACCGGGGCGTAAAGTGTAGAAAAATGTCGTCTACTGTGAGGAGAAACCAGAGATTTACAGAATCGTTATGAAACCAATTATACTTCTTTGTTATAGGTTTTGTTAGCTTTTTTGGACCTGACCGTGCACAACGTTCAATAGCATTCCTATCATTTTGAACTTACAGACCAATAGAAACGTCGCATTAATTTATTCAGTCACAATTTGTGAAAAAAAAGCAAAGGATTATGTACGGTCAGGGAGCTTCCAACATAAACTACAGCACCATTGTTTTCAGCTTTGATGTTTGCCGGCTTTCCTAACCAGTCTGCTCTACTTACTATGAGTACACTAATGATCTTCATACCTTTTGCCGCGCATACTGGTAAAGAAGAGCAAAGTGCAGACTGTAGGCGATGCCATTTTCACTGTTTTGTTTTTCACACGCTTGCAGCACCTCCAGGCATGTTAGGATGACAGAGCAGGATGCTCCACCAGTAGGCATGGAGATCTAAAGCAATATAAATCAACCTGGTATAATCATGTTGTTGGAAAGAAATTGCCTAAGCCAGATACCAACTCTATTTGTCTGTTTTGGGGAACTGTCGGTCTTGTAGGAGAGTCCCTTAAGAGATATAGGCCAGAGTTCGAACTTTCCCTGAATGAGACGAACCAAATTGTGTCAAATTGTCATTTGAGTCGACCTTAATTGAGTTGAGTCAAACGCCGAACATTACCCCCTCCCTCCCCCTGACTCAGCATCGAACATCACCTGAATTCAAAACCAAGATATCTGGCGCGAAACATTTTACAGTCGTACAGTGGAAGCCCGCTTTGCGGGAACCCATTTTAAACGGACGGTTTTCCAGTTTGCCCGACGAAAAACTCAAAATATTTTCTATTGAATGAACCACATAACACGGAAACCCGGATGATACAAACGCATGACTGCATGCTTCGTGATACTGCACAAGGTACTTTCGTTTTACAAAACCGACGACTAAAAACGATTGCTCATGTTTCGGCATCGGTAGGCTGACTCGGAAGGACTGGCAATAACACGTACAAGTTGGCAGGGAATGATCAGTAAAAAATGTTTTTATAATGCGAGTACATTTAAATTTTCCATACAAATTATCACATTTTATCACAAAAAAAATTTTAATCTATTTATTGAGTTCGTCTCATGAGAAGGTTGACCTTCGTCCCGGAGACGATCTTTACAATAGGGCCATTTATACGAGGAAAAATAAGACGCGTCTTACATAAGACGCGTCTTAAATAAGACGCGAACTGTACCATTTATAGGAGCATGTCTTATCTAAGACGAGAACAGCTCATATAAATGGTTCGCGTCTTATTTCTGTTCTTGACTCGTTTTCATGTGAATGTTGCCCGTAGCAACGGCAATCCAACGTGGCGCGCCAAAAAATAACGCATGCGCACTATGCGTTCGCGTCTTACATAGGACGCGAAGGTCATTTATGCGAAGTTTTTCTCGTCTTAGCTAAGACGCGTCTTATCACCCCACGCAAGAAAAGGCGACCCGTGGGGTGATTTTCACGCGCGTTCGCGTTTCGCTCGCTCTACTATCCCTGAGGAAAAATGGGGGACTACTCGTAGTCTAGGGTTGTCGCATAAAAACTTCGGCGTTAGGGCTTGATCCCCTGTAATCAAAGAATCGAACTATTTTGATTGGTCTCGAGCACAATGTCTGTCGCTCCACTGAGGACAGTAGTGAAAAAGTGTCTCATTGGTTTATTGTGGGCCCCGCCTCAAGGCAGGGCAACCAAAAATTAGTCTATAGACTCATTCAATTGTTCTCCTCCACGGAAATCTTTAGTAAAAGGCGAAAGATTTATGCGTGTTTGAAGGAAAACCAGAGTTGACAATGAGGTGCCAGAAAGAGAGCTTGTTCAATGTGAGGCGGCCAGCCATGTGGGACGAAATAGAACCATATATTTAAAAATGTTAATTAATGAGAACGCATGCGCATCGACGAGACCCTAAGTATCTAAACAATCAAGGTTTTACAGGTCTATGTTGAATTCTTTCCGGTACCAATCTGGCTTCTTCATTTTTTTCGTTTTGATCCACTTTCAAGAGCGTTTTCAAATCGATGCGTTTGTGATGAAAATGCGAGCGTTTTCAAATCGATGCATTTGTGATGAAAACGCTCAGCGTATTAGTGTGGACGGAAGGCCTAAACGCATCGAGATGTATGCGTTTTCAAAAGAAAAACGCATTGGTATTGAAGCGGCCTCAATTTAATTCAATTCTGCAAAATAATTTTAGACTATTGAAAGGTGGCAGGGTTTGTGTACCCCAAGTTAAATTTTTCATTTTTTTTTTTAATTACTTTGTTAGTTTTCACTCTTACTCTCCAAATGGCCAGCTTCACTGGTTTTAAGTCTTTTGACGCATTTTTCAAGAGCTGTTGATAGATTTTCAATGGTCCATGTCAAAAGATAGGAAAAACGGAAAATTCTAATGGCAATGAAGCTTGAATGATAAAAAGGCCATTGGAAGTTTACAGTCAAGTTTCTAAAATTTTCACCAGTGACAAGAAAAACATACCAAGGTATAGCAAACAATTATACATGTGACAACATTTTAAACACAACACCACCACATGTAAACATAGCAACATCTCAAAAACAAAGCAGCTGGGTTTGTCACTCTCTCCTCCTAAGAGGTCTCTCTGTGTCCCAGGGAGGCTGGGGAGAGAAAAAAAGAAAGTGCACAAGGGACCATGGGAAGGGGAAAGGAAGGAGAGAGGCCTCAAGGATCCTGCCTTTTCCCTCTTCTCTTTGTCCACTGCACGCTTCCTGTATTTTGTTTTGATAAAATACCCAATGTGAGCCACTGTGGGGGAGAGACGGCATCTCATACAAACCTTCAGTGTATCCATGGACAGTTCATGAATTAGATTGTGAAGGAAATCTAGTGTTCGCTGAGCAACTTCCCATGGAGAAGGTCGGTTCAGTTTCAGGAGCAAGTTGCATTGCCGGGAAAAAAGGTAATTTCTAAGGTCAATATAGCTTGCTTCCTGGGTCTTAATCAGCCCGCCTAAAAACTCCTGGGGACCTTTGTCTAATGAAACTCCATCACAGCATTTGCAGTCCCGCATGAAGACATCGATGCAGTCTAAGGGTTCTAAAAAGATGTGGTAAAATTATATTTCATTATAATTCGTGGTAAGCTTCCCCCTTTTTCAGCAGACCTGAATAGACCTTGCTGCTTTCTCAAAAGTGGGCAAATACTGAGCTCACAAAAAAAGAGTGTGTTTGTGGGAATCTAATGACAAAAAAATTTTTCACAAAATGTTGACTTCCAAAAGCAGATACTTTTGGAACCGGCGTTATGTGTTCATCTTTAGAGAGGGTCCAATAAAAGGAGTAAACAAAGGCAGCGATCAACTCTACATGTCCATCTTAGAGAAGTCTACACCTTACAGACAGTCAACTATAAAAATAAAAGGAGTAAATAGAGGCAGGGACCAACTCTAGGTGTCCATTTTATAGAGGTGCATGTTAAGAGAGAGCAGACTTTATACTACATGTATTGTGACCCAAAGGGGCCAGGGCACCCATGCAGGTATAACAGTGATGGAGAGGTGCAAATGAGCCCAAAATGTTATACCTCAAAAAAGTCCTGTTATGAACCAATGACATTTTTGGTTCCATGACAGGGCTGGCTAACCTGCTCTGATCAGGCACCCCGTTACCCTTTGTTTTTTGTACTCTCCCAGAAACAAAGAACACCTGATCACAGGTTAATGACTACCAGCTAGAGATCAATCCCTGATCACAGGTCAGTGACAGGTTAAGGACTGACTGGCTAGAGCTAAACAAACAACTACTCACACACTACATACATGCAAAACAGTGCTTACCTCCAAAGTTTGAGTTGATGACAAGTTGAGTTAGCAGAGCATCAATCTCATCATACTGGATAAGTGCTTCTTCAAAAAGTCCCAGCATCTCAAACACAAATGCAAGTTCTTCCTGAAAACAAACGACAAAATGGATGTTCCTTTTTATCTTACAATGTTAGGCTGGAAAACATTAACAAAAATCCACTGACATAATAAATACTACAATGATTGTGTACAATAACATGTTCTTGTTTCCTTTTTTTAACATCAAACTATGCAGGTCTTTACTTTTAATCCACAAACACGCATCATTGAATTCAGAGGTAAGGTAAGTCATTACTCTGAGCAAACTGTAACCACTTGCACTCCTGAGAGACCCATTTAAAAAAACACACAAGGACCATCAGCAGAGCAAGACATGGGTTATTATAAGGGGTTCTTGAGCTCTTCAAATTCTACGACCTTTCATGACTTTTTCCATGACCATCTCCAGTTTTCCGCGACCATAGCTTTAGCTGTCACTTTCAGTCAGCACGGCATGCACAGGCCAGATAGAAAAAGAACTGCTAACAAAAGGGTGCCTCTTGGGTTACATGCATTACTTTATCAGACAAGATTATATACTAACTTACATGCAGTGAAAAATATGTTGTGAAACTCCAGCGTGGTTCTGTTCTTTTCTCCCTCAAAGCTCTGACTTGGTCCTCAAACTTGCCCAAGTGACGATTGAAAGAAACCAACAGCAACTGGCGCAGCTTGGTGACCAAGTTCTGCCAGGATTCAACAGAGCGAGTTAACTGATTCTCTTTGAAGGGTTCCCATAGCTGGATAATTCTGAAATGAAAAGAAATATATTTATGATAAAGGAATGAAGGCACAGTAAGTAATTCATAAGTACCAGAACCAGCTATTTAGTTGAACTGGTTGCTTGCATCTGGCCCTAAGTTACTTCAGAAAAACTGCTAATTGTTCCTTTAAAACTGCACTGTGCTTGGCTAGGAAACATTGGAAAGTTAGGCAGGACTGTATACATTGGATAATGGTAAAATCTGATTGAAAAATTAAATTTTTCAGCATGATTTTACCACTTTTTTATGGCCCTGGCTGTTGGTTCGACCATGGTTTGAACCTGCATTCCACTGCTGGGCAGATCAGTGTTCTCCCAGCTGAGTTAACAGGGCAGTGGCAACCATTTATATATGGCTGGTGAGCATAAATTAGTGTGCAGGTAAAAATTAATATACATGTATTAAACATTGTACTATTAATAATGGTAGATTTCCTCTAAGCCTTGGAATTTCTCTATTTTTACCATTCATTTTACTTAAATTGTATGGAAGAAGGGCTTTAACTCATTCACCAATGAACAACCCATAATCCACACCCATACAGATCTCTTGTACTGCTTGGGACATGTTCAGTTTTAACTGTGACAAGGAAAACTTTGTCATTTAACTTGTGAAGAGGGAAGAGATCTTTCGAACCATATCAGAATGAGCACAACTCAGTCAGGGTGGCCAGAGAAAAAGGCAAAAAAAACATGCAAAGTTAAAACAGCAATTCTGAAGAAATTCATGTTTCACAGGGTGCAAAGAAAATCATTTTTACAGCTTGCCAATCTGGCAAGCTGAAGCTATCATTTACTAGCCCAGACATCATTTTAACTAGCCCCAAAAGCTTTTTGACGAGCACAATTAATTTCACAGTTCTTCCTTGATTCAATTTTGCTCAAAAAACATCACTTGCCCATCAGGCAAGTTAAAAACAGAATTCACTAGCCCGATAGCAAAATCCACTAGCCCTGGGCTATTGGATGCTACTTTCTTTGCACACTGTTTCACTGATGATGCAACAAGTGGTGGACGGGTGCTGGATCCGCAAAGGCAGTTACAGTGTATGGGCACGTTAGAGGCAAATGGATTAAAGTACCTTTTGCCCAAAAGAATATCGCATTTTAGCTACTATGAGATACTAGCTAGGTTCTGGTTTTACCTATCACTATTCTTGCTACCAAAGTCACTTTTAATCTTGTCAAATACTGTGCTGCGAGGAAGCTGAATCTTTGGCTTACTTCCCTTGAAAGAATCCTGAGATATGACATGAATAATCATCCAGTCCACAATATTCCTGTCTCTTAGCTTTCTCAACCAATCTGTAATTCCATCTTTCACTGAACTCTTGAACTCATCGGGATCCTATATCATTTATTGTAAATTCCAAAAGGGATACAATAAGAATTTGGTGCAGGCCCTGATTTTTACCATCACAGTGGTAGCATGGTCATTTTAGGGTATCTTAAGCAAAACACAGAAAAAACCCAACAACACAACCATTTAGAACGCTTTCATTATTATTACCACATATCATTTACAAAAAAGTTATTGTATCATTATCATTATTAAAAACTGAATAACTGGATAATGCAATTCTAGAGTTTTGATTGGTAAGCCATAATGGTATATAAGCCATTATACTAGTACCATACTCTCCATGTATGGTCAGTGTACGCCTCAGTTCAAAGTTAGAAGCTAGCGGAGATTTTTTTTTGCGAAGGATAGAATGGCACCCAAAGAAAATTGTTTTTATTCTTAGAATACTAGAAAAATATGCAATTTCATTGGGGAAAAAAAAACAAACAAACAAAGAAGCCACAAAAGTTTTTTTGAAAGTTTATCAAAAAACACATGAACATACATGCGCGTTTTTAATTAAACAATTATTCCACTCTCGCTTGTTGGATATCAGATGATTATATCCAACTCACCTCTATGCGCCTCGTTGGCTATCTATCATCTCATATCCAGCAGCCACTCGTGGAATAATTGTTAATTTATCATATGGTGAGTTGTTAATTACAGTGAGATAACCAAACATGCAAAGAGAGTTCACACCAAGTGTCAAGTGTTCACTTACCTAGGAGGCTAAAAACAATGGAAAAAAGTGAATTTGGTCTCTTACAAGAGGTAGTTGTTTTTGAGAGGGTCCAACTTTGTCTAAGAAAGTTTCAGGGTGGGTGAGAAAGGCGGTTAGTTAAGTGAGATACTTATCACACGTGACTGTTACTGTTACTATTTCCGTTTATTCAAAGTTCCCTCATTAGAGTCATGCTCTAACAGCATGGACCATAAAAAATATAGAACATTACTTAGTTGCCCTTACCTGACAGTCTGTCCAGTAAATATGAAAGAATGGCTGTTTGTGAAGATTTGAGGCAGATTGGTATGTTTCTATACTGCTAACATCAACTAGCATATCCTGTGATAACCGCACAAAGTTTGCCTTTAGCTTGACAGTCTTGGGAGGTCTTCCATAGGATCTGTGGCAGAAAAAAGTCAACTGCTAACAACTCTATAAAGAAACAAATCTGATCCAAATATCATTGGGGTTGGCAATAACTGAAATAATTTCCTCACTTACAAATTTGTGTTTACAGATAACATAACACCACACCGTAGTTCCAGCAATTTTACCGCCAAATCCTGAAGGATTAACCCCCATAAGTGGAAAACTCTTGCAAGGAGACACATGGAGCACCTTCCATTCAGCCCAAAATTCCAGAAATTTATGGACCATTTCAGTTTGGTTTCAACCAGAATATTTGGGACCACCTTTGAAGGTGGCCCACTTTGACTGGTCTACAGGTCAGACCAATTAATTCCCTTTCCACTAGCCAAAATAAAAATTGCAAAAACAAGCAAAGAAGTGTACGCAAGTGAAGGTTGGTTTTGCTGCATCAGATGAAAGTCAAGTCGGTTAATAGGTAGGAACCAACTCTAAATTTAATATTGTTCCTGTAAGTGTCTATTTTAAGAAGGATTAGAAACCTTTCATGTGTTGCATTAGAGAAAATTCAGATCTCCATCTACTTAATTTTTTGGAAGAAAACTGAGCTTGCAGAATTTTTAAATACCTGGTGTATGAATTCACTGCTCATTACACATGCAAGAATGCAGAAAATAATAATGAATCTGATATTGGCAACACTAACAAATCCAATACTTATAAACAATAAATTCATTAACAGAAACATGGGGATAGGTGGGCAGAATCAGTTCTTTCGATGAACCACAATTTTCTTATGTCTCCTACGAATAGCTAGGGTAAGAAAACAAAGAAAATTATCAAACTACAAGGCTGTACTCTAGCAGTGCCCGCCTGTGGCCCATGGCACCTAACTTTTGCTCCCAATTAACAAAATCTTAGTTTTTCATAGAAATCCTATGCTGGGTACCCTGGATTTCACAGATTCAAAGCTCTTCCTACAGTGTACATGTAGATCCCTAAAATGTTCCTTCGAGCACAGCCTTGAACAGGAATGGATTTTACCTACAACGTAAATATACAATTGACCTGTTTTTACTGTAAGAGACAAGACCAACCTTCTCCACTCTGTGTATTCTCTGGGAAGCCTCTTCTCCAATTCTGGGTTAAGTTTGCTATAAACATCCTTATCACCAAAACCTACAAATATTCATCGCATAGTTGACAAAGAGATCTTCACCTGTAGTAAAAAGATCTATAGTAACAAGCAATACTGTATTATTCAAGCAAAAAATATATATATTTACAAGCTTCTCGCAAAAAAACTGTCCTAATACCTCTAGAGCAAAAAAAAGCAAAGTTGATTTGTGACAGTGTTACAGTGCAACTACTGTAACCAAGTCCACCTTGACAAAGTTGACCAATTGTATTGCACAAAAATAACAAAACATTCAGAGAAAGTTGGTTGCCAATCATAATCACCACGAAACAAAACAAGATTATAAGCTGGTCAGTTAAGCCAAAATAAGGTATAGTGACCCAATATTTTTTGCAACTGGCTGTAGCATACAAAAGTACTTAAGCTAGTAAAAGGAAGCTGAAATGGACTGACTAGATGGTTTTCTCTACGATGCAAGATATTTACAGGAAAATCAAACCATACTTAATTTTATTGGGCCACTAGGTGATATTTGTGATACGCCTATATTTCTTAAATCACTAATCCAACAAAATTTGTTAGATTTTAATTAACTTAAGCTTATTTAAAGTATTCCAAGTCTAAGTCTACTGAAGCAAGTCTAAACTAGTGACATCATTTTGTACTTACAGGTGACCTTTGGTTTTAAATCCATGATCTCTTGAAATAGTCTTCATTCATTCGATTCCCTACATGAGGTCAGGAAATCATTTTCCACTGGTATCTCTCGCAATGTACATGAAGCGAACTCTCATTCCTCTCCAGGGAATCGCCATCTTGAAAACAAGATTTCTTCGCGATATATGAAGTATCTGCCGTAAGAAGAAACGTCCGCTGACTAATGCCTAGTAAGGCTCACTTAATTTTGTGAAAATGTGCAATGGGAATTAGTCGATTTCTTCATGTCATCTGTTCCGGTTTTCCTCCAAATCTGTAAGAATGCTTCCTTTTCGCTTCCTGAGAAAACGACGAATTTTGTTTTTTGTAGTCTTGACTTTATTTATTTTGGGATGTCTTGCGGCCTTAAAAGTTATTTCATCTTCGGAAAAAGACAAGTTGGGACCAAAGATATTCAATAAAGAAGCACCTGAAGAAATAATTTTAAATTACAGGGTTCAAGATGCAAGTGAACAAAAAATCAGTAGGGAAGAGAGAGAAAAAAGAGAAAACAACTTTGTCAAAGGAGCTAACGGGAGGGATAGTACAGGACCCGGCCTTTCGCATAGACCAACCATAAAAGATGCCGTCACAGGAAAAGGAATTAATTCTGACAAAGAGGATCTTTTGTTACCTCAACCAAATTATAACGTTCACATTTTTTACTACGCGTGGTATGGAAATCCTGAACACGATAGGAAATATGTTCACTGGAATCACCGATTCCTTCCACACTGGGATCCTGAAGTAGCTAAGAAATACAAGAAAGGATCTCACTCTCCTCCAGATGATATTGGTTCCAATTTTTATCCAGAGCTTGGGCCTTACAGTTCAAGAGACCCTAAAGTAATTGATGATCACATGATGCAAATGAGAACTGCAAGGGTGGGTGTGGTCGTGCTCTCGTGGTACCCCCCTGGTAAGGCTGACGAGGAGGGGATACCAAGTGACTCACTGGTGCCTCTCCTTCTCGATGCCGCAGCTAAGTACAAACTTAAACTCACATTTCACATTGAGCCCTATAAAGGCAGGAATGATCATACAGTCCATGATGACGTAAAGTATATTATAGACACTTACGGCAAACACAAGGCTTTCTATACGTACAGGACCACTGATGGAAGAAATCTACCCATGCTGTACATTTATGACTCATATCATACCCCACCAGAAGCTTGGGCACAGTTATTGAGACCTGATGGGTCACATTCAGTACGTAACACACCATATGACTGTATATTTATAGCGCTGATGGTTGAAATGAGTCACAGGAAGTACATAGATGAGGGTGGTTTTGATGGCTTCTACACTTACTTTGCTACTGATAAGTTCACCTATGGGTCAACATGGCGATCGTGGCCTCAACTCAAAGCTGTCGCCAAACAGACAAACAGTTTATTTATTCCAAGCGTGGGACCAGGGTATATTGACACGAGTGTGCGGCCGTGGAATAACATGAACACAAGATTAAGAAGTAATGGAGAGTATTATAAAAATAGCTGGAAGGCGGCTCTTCAAACTGAGCCAGATGTTGTCTCAATTACGTCATTCAATGAATGGCATGAAGGAACACAAATAGAAAAAGCTGTTCCAAGATCGTTTCCTGGACTGCTTTACAAAGATTATCGCCCTAATTCTCCTGACTTTTATCTCAAGCTAACTAAGAAGTTTGCGGATACATTTGGAAGAACAAAAAAATAAAATTTTGCTAGCACAAAGTTGCTACAGGTTTAATTCCGGGTGTCCAAAACTCTTGTTTGTAAATTGAAAAGCTGCTCCCTACTCTTGTTATTTATATGGCTAACTCTCTCTGAAACGGACGCCTTTTGAACCGGCATTAAGTGTCCATCGTAAAGAGATGTCCCTCTTATTGAGAGTCAAATGAAGGGAGTAAAGAAAGACAGGAACTAACTCTAGATGTCTGTCTTACAGAGGTGTCCATAAAGAGAGAGCTGACTGTATTCAAATTTTTCTTTAAGGCTGGGTGAGCAGTGGTTTACAGGGGAATAAATAATAATGCAGGTGGAACAGGGATAGACACTAATATAGGAGGAAGGGTAAATACAGTCAAACCTCAAGGGGGATACTTCCTATGATGGCCTGCATGGGAAGGCTCCGCCCTAAAGGGGTACCCTTTTCACTTCCCACCCCCTTCTGGGAGTTGAACCTCTACATCCAGTGTTTCATCTGTTTTGGTTATTCCTTGATCAGGCAGGTGATAATATAACCTTCTTGCCACTTCGTTTTCATTCACCCAACTTCATCACTACTTTTGCACCTTTTTCACCCAAAACTTTTTTCCTTAGGGGCAAAGTAAACTCCTCCATGACACAAACATTCTCCATTAGGGACAGTTCCCTTAGTCTCAAAGATACCAGATTTTGTTAGCAACATCACTCTGGTGTCCATTTGGACCATTTGATTGAGGCCAATTGGATCTTTCAAAGATCATGCTTATGGGAATAAAAGTGGACTGTTCACAGTCCCTTATTTTTTCGTGAGATCATTTAGATATAGCGCATCTTACAGTCAAGAATGACGGCCATCTTGATTTTCAAATGTAGCGAGGGGGTGGGCGTCGGGGTTTATAGCTCTAGTGCCGCCCCCTAAGTAGCTTTGACACTCATGCAAGATGTCAGCCCGTAACGCAAAGCGCTCGATCTCGACGACTGATCTTACGGAAAAATAGAGGACTGTGAACAGTCTAGAATAAAAGTAAACAAAAAAACAAAATAGGTCAATATTCAACTTAAATATATTATGATTTCCAAGTTTTATTCCCCTAAGCTTTAGAGTCAAGAATGAATTTTAAAGCATCAAGATTGGCCTATTGAAAAAGTCTGAAGAACAAGAAGGGGGGGGGGGGACTCCCTTATAAGGGCTTAATGGGGACGTGCGGCCAGCCAGGGTATGTTTTTCGGGATTTTTGTCTTAAAAAGGGTATTGATTTTATCATTTTTTGTCTTAATCAGGGTATCGATTTTATCAATTTTTGTCTTAAACAGGGTATTTTTTAAAATAGTTTTGTGATTGCCAAATTATGGATTAAATAAGAAGAAAGAGTTTCGATATTTATTATTGTCTTACACAGGGTATGGTTTTGGGTTCAATGTCTTAAACGGGGTAGGAAAATCAGCGATTTTTGTCTTAAACAGGGTCAGGGTATGGGGGGCCGGGCCGCTCCTCCCCACCTAAGGATATATCAAGTTCCCCCCTCCCCCAGAGCTCTTACCTAATTTTAAAATTCTCTCCTTTACCCACTATCACGTACATGTACACGGCAAATCGGGAGTAGAATCAAGCATTTTATCACAAGCAACTCAGGGTTCAATTTGACAACATCTTTAACATGGAGAAGTATTAAAGCACACGTCGTGAAGTTTTAACTCGTGTGAACACAAAGATATCCGTGTACCTTCACATTTCACACATAGTTTCCCGCATCCCTCCCTAACATTTAGAAAATAGAAAAGTTGTGATAAGCTAAGATAAAAGACCAGACGATTCTGGACATTGCCTCACTCATGGGAAGCACAGAAAGCCAGCAAATCAATGACATCATCAGTATCAGAACAAGTAAAACAGACTGGCAAATATAAAAGACTTACAACATGTTCTGAAGGTGCATCATTTTTATTATCATTATAAGGAAGAACTTATTTTACAAATAATAAAACTACTGGATGTGTCCGCTGATGTATAGTTTCATGGTCCAATATATCGACCCTTTAAGTCTTGACATCCACATACAATTTCTCCAGACCAATCTCCAAATAATTTTCCTTACAGAACTGGCCTCAGTTGTTCAAAAGCTGGATAGCGCTATCCACCCGATAAATCACTATACAGTGGATAAAATACTTAGAGATTTATCCACTGGATAGCACTATCCACCTTTTGAACAACTGGGGCCTGGTTGAGAAAATTGGATGAAAGCTGGAACATTTTCTCTTTGGTTAAATGAATAATTATTTAGATTGATATTTCATGATCTTTTGACTTTATTGGTTTTTTGATATTGTTAGATAGAAGAAAATTAATGTTTGTCACCCTTAAGACTTAAAGGGAAAACAGTATTTCCAACTTGCCAGCTTAAATAATCTTCTTTACATCAAACTATAGAATAAAGCAGGACTAAAAAAAGCCCTGTTTAGTTGTGTGGGACAAGTAGATTTTCTTGCGGGGCATTAAGCTCAATTGCCTAAGATACATGCAACTAAATAATTCACTAAGACAAGCATGCAAAATTTGAGAGCTGCTCGTTTAAAGGCCAAGCTGGAATTCTATTTTATTTTTTTTATTTTGAATTCTATTTTTTTTTTCAGCCCTGAGAAAGGGAAAAGGTTTGCATGAAATAATTTGTCAAAACTTTGACTTTTCATGACCTCATTCTCATCAAAAATCAATTTCATCTAAAATTAATAAGATGCAATACACTGTAGCTTACCCAGCAAACCTACTAATAAGTAATAATATCACTGGGCTGAAAAAAGGAATATTATGAGGCTAATATTCAGCCACCTTGACCAAAAAACCTTATTAATAAATGATTAAATAGATTATGACGTGGAGAACTTACTTCTTGCAGGACTTAAAGCAGGAAAGACACGCCGATCTTGCCTGCTCAGCTAACTAATCAGTACACAGGACTCACTTCATCTTTCCCCCTCGAATAACTAGCCATAATAATAATTTACATCACTACCTCTGCACAATAACAAAAAAAAAAAAACAGGAGGGTTCACTTGAGGTGAAATTGAAAAAGTAGTACAAAATAAAAAACAAACAAACAAGCAAGAAATCATTATGCCAACACATTAGGACTCCATGACACTCCTCCTCAGATTTACAATAAGGATATATATGCTTGATATTTTTTGTTTTAATTTCTAAAACAAAATGTTTTTAAAACAGATAATTTGTTAACACTTGACTCTGCATCTACTGAGTAAAACCAAATCTACTAAATGGTTTGAAGAAAATGCTTTTGAGTAGACTTTTGAAGGCATAAGAAATCAAAAAGTCATTATTTTTCTCAGAAGAATATCAATTTCCTAGAGTGTAAGTGTTACACTGCAACTAGTTAATGGTGATCTTTCTCTGAATGGGGTATTTTAAATGAAAAATAACAAAGTAATGAACTAATTCAAAAGAACATGGCAGACACTTTCTTTAGAAAATGTACTCCTTTGATGTAGACAAGGGTGTTTTCAGCACACACTTTGATATAATAATAGTAAATATGATTTCACAAAGTTTCTGGTATCCTTGGGGCAACTGCTATGCAAGTAAGCAGCAAGTCTCGTGTATCATGTTGCCAAGTTTTAGTCTTTGCCGGCTTGTGGTTCCATTCCTTTCTTTTATATCTACATGGAAAAAGGGAAAATAGTTTACAACTTTAACAAAACCTTCCAGACAGAAAAGGCCTTTCCAAATATCCAATCTTTATTGGCAAGACAAGTGAGAGAAGCATGGGTCTATAATGAAGAAACCTGTGACACAAGCATAAGCAAAAACATCATTTCATCTTGAATAATTTTCTCTTCTCCTACTGATGGTTATGTCCATCTTGTTCCTGGTGAGGATGTGTATTTTTCCCAGAGGCAGTGAGTGTTTCCCAGGGGAAGAATAATAGTAACCAGATGCAAAATATTAACTTGAGAAGTTCAGCTATGCACAGGAAGCACAATTTTGAAATTGGGTTAAAAGTGACACAGCAGTCTTGACTTTTACTTTTCGCTTTCTCTCCTCCCCTTCTTTTTCGCTTTTCTTGCCTCATTTCCTTTCTTTTGCTGGGCATTTAGTAGGCTTCATTTTGGTGGGAAAAATTTTTAGGAAAGCTTTTAGGATCTTAGAATTTGATGAAAGGAAAGGTAGGTGGGTAGTGGGACAAGATTTTCATGGAAATTTTCAGGTCAATGTTACATGGTTTGTTGCCTTTTTCTCTGATGTTCTTGACTGGATTGTGCTCATTCTGGTATGGTTTGAAAGATCTCTTCACTTTGCACAAGTTATCGCACAAAGTTGTCCTTGACAATTAAAACTGATGATGTCACAAGCAGTAGAAGGGACGTGGGTCTGCCAAGCAGTTACGGGCAGCTCAAGGGTGAATGGGTTAAGCAAAGGCATTTTTCAGTGACGCACATCAACTAGAAATGAGTCCCTTTCCCTTTTAGTTGCCTCAACGCTTCCAAATTTGTATTGCTGAGTGTCTTTAATTTCACAAAGACAATTTGATTAAAAATTTTGGGCAAAATCATTGCCCAAGAGAGAAAACATTCCACTTCCGGTCGATGAGTGTCACTCAAAAACATCTTTGCTTAAGCTCACTATTGTTAATCCACAGACTTGGAAATTGTATCATCTGTGACTCTTCTTGGGCATTAGACTTGGTTGCAGACTTTCTTTCGGGGTAGGGGTAGTGTTAACAAAAAGAAAAATAAAGGGTTGTTGTTAAAAACAGATGAACTATGTGCAAACAACTTGCAGCTTTCTTGAAGTATAACAATTTGGCTTCATTTGCACCTCCCCATCAATATAACACATGAATGCCCCCTGCCCTCCGCTCCCCCGCCCTATTCCCCCTCATTAGTACCCAACTTCAGTTTCCACAGTTTTAAGCTTTCCAGGGCTGTTCATTGAGATGAGATTTGAACGTAATCCATCATAAGCAAAACACTTACATTATCAATATCAGCATCTTCTTCTTCTACATCTTCACCTTCCTCAAACGTCACTTCTTCTCCGTCTCCATCACCTCCCATTGTTGGATTTTCGTTGACTTTGACTGCAAGGCAAAATGAGGAAAAGAAAATTGAAGCCAGCATCTTTTTACACAGCTCTTAATCATGTCTTTCCATTCCCTTTTTCTTAGCATAATTTTCTTGGTGTTGGATTCTTTGTCTTGAGCCAAAAATAGAGCTTGAAACAGAGTTGTAAGAAAGTTTTGTCAAAGTACCCTTAAGTGAATATATTCCCATTTAGTAGAGTTTCAATGCACAGAAAAAGATCTTGTTTTCAAAAACTCTTGGCTATAAGCCGAAACCCACTCTTGACCTCAAATTTCACTTAACTTAAGTTTTAATTTGTGTAAAAATCACTTGGCTTATAGCCAAATAAATACAGTAGGTGGCTTAACTTACTGTTGATTAAAGTATAAGGGTGTAACGATTCATATTCCTTGCGATTCGATTCAATTCGATTATTGCCTTTCAATTTCAATCATTTTGATTTGATTATGTGAACGTTTCTCAATTCTTAAAACATAATGCATAATGTAAACAACATGCAACCCTAAACCCTCAATTTGAGAACAGTAACAGGAAAGGAGGATTCACAGTTGTTTGGTCATTAGTTGCCATGTTTGAGAACCTGACAAAGAGTGTGTCGCACATGGTTAGCTTATTTGAAAATTCCCTAGGGGTGGTTGAAGGACAGCATTTTTACCAGGCAACACAAAATGGCGCACAAACTGCAATCATCTTTACTTGTCAATCAAAAACACATTTTAAAGAGTTCTGGATTCGGACTTTACAATAAAATAACTCACTGAGGGCACCCTGGGAAAGACATGCAAAAATTGAACCCAAATGTCGAAATGTGGAAGCAAAGAATCATGAATTGAACCAAACAGTCATAATCATGATTAACCAAGAACTTGCTTAATCATTACACCACTATTAAAGTAGGTGACTGATTTGCCATTTTAATCAAAGGAATAGCCCAACAGAGTACTTAGCTAGCCCAAAAAATACCAACTGCCAGCTATTATTTCTTGACAACTTCCCGAAAAATTGAGAATACAGTTTACAACCTCCCTCCTTTTTAATTTTAAACACAACTTGAATTTTTTTTGGTAACTTTTGGTATTAATTGTTTACCCATGGAGCACTTACAAGTTCTTAAGAACTCATTGACACAATCACGTTTGTGCATTCCAGATCGAATTGGAATTTGGAAGTGTTGGTATTTAAGGAGAGGTGAAAACTGAAATACACAGAGAAAAACCTCAAGGAGCAAGGGACAGAACCAACAATAACCTCAACAAACATATGGCATCAACACCAGGATTCCAACCTGGGCCACTCTGGTGAGAGGCGAGTGCCCTCACCACTGCACCACCCTTAGAGCCGTTCGTATCTATCTTCCCTCATTGGTTTTTAAAGACCTCAGTCTCACTGAGGGAGGTATTGGAGTCACCTCAGTAGAGTTGTTAAAACTGTATTTTATGCGTTTAAACCGTATAACCGTTTGGAACCTGACAATAATTGTGAGACATCCACATTCTTGTCGCTTAAGCTAGCAAATAATATCAGAGGGACCCCTTTATATAGAAAAATATTTTTCAACAGCTATTGAATGCACTGTACCATTATCTGGGAGTTCACCATATGCCTTTAAATTTCTGGCTTCATCAGGATTGTATCGCAAAATAACATCCGCTTTACCGTCCTGGTGATCACAACAAAACAACACACAAATTACTGGTATATATAGATGTGGGCCCTGAGTTACATACATGAGGCTTTCTGTGGTACAATGAGATTTCACTACAGGGTTTACAAGTATGCCAGATTTGGAAAAATAAGCAATTCCATTTGGTAGTTGTGCTGTAACGGCAAAGAAATAAACAAAAATGTGAGCACTGCACATGCCAAGTTCTTGCCTTTCTTACCCAAACCTGTGAAAGGTTTGAACCCAGGAGTCATTTTAATAAGTAGGTTGAGCATTATCATCAGGACCTGACCTAACCACAAAAGAAGGACTGGACAACCGACAATTGGACTAACAATATATTAATGACTGTTTAACTGTGACAATAGACAGATCAAAACACAGCAATGACATTTACAGTCTTCATAGCCAATAACATCATGGCTTAACTGACAGAGAACCAATAACATTGCGACTTAATTGACCAATCAGGTCAACAGCCAGACTTTACCAACAACTGATGTGATACATCTCACTTTGACTCTGAAGATGACTACTGCACAGGTTGTCGAAATGTCAGTCACTGTCACAAAACAGTCCTGATCATGCCCAACCGACTTATACCTATAACATTTTGATGTTCTCATTGTCATTGTCATTGTGACATCTTAAGCTCCCTACTATTTATCACAAAAATCTTTTAACCAAAAAATAAGCCTGGTATCATCTGTAATCAATACCTGATAGTCTCGAAGTCCTAACAGAATAATATCACCTTGATTGATCCAAACCTAAGGCAAAAAAATCAGAATGATTTCATATGAATATTACAATCATTGACTGAGTGAGTGAGGTCCTGAACGATACCGCTGCTGTAGGTGTCCAAAAAATCTGCCAGGCCAACTTGCATAACTTACTTAAGTTCTAAATATGTAATACAATAAACTCTCTCAAAGACTGACACCTTCAGGACTGGCCCTGACTGTCCATCTTAGAGGGTTGTTTGGCTTATCAAGAATCAAGGTGACGTGATACCAGTAATAATATAAGAGAATAAAGTTGAACCTATTTGAAATGCTTACATACCTGTTTAACTTGTGCAAAACAGTGAGAACTGGAACAAGTATGTAATATGAAAGTTGAATCATTTTCTCATTCAATTTCCTTCTTCTAATTGCAATTTACTGTTATGTAGAGCACCTACATTTCTGTTACATGTACCCTATGTGGTATTTTTACTTCATAAACCACTTGTAGTGGCCGCTGACAGTTTCAAAAGTGTCCGTGGTCTATCTTAGAGAGGTGTTAGACTTATAGAGAGTATATTTACACTGAAATGACTGAAAAACAGCAGGGACCAACACCAGGTGTCCATCTTAGAGAGGTGCCATTAAAAGAGAGTTGACAGTTAAAACATTGTCTAGTGTGTCCAGTTCAGTAGTAGTTCAGCAAGGCATACAATCATAGACAATCATGACTTGCCTGAATCCTAGCCCATCGGTCAAGTTAAAGAGTTACGATGTACATGCCTAACATGAAAATCTACCTGTCCTAGACAACCAGACGGGACTTTTTTCAAGCCCTTTCTATTGTTTTTTTCTTAGAGGGCACCAACAAACACTCAAGGACTTGGGAGTCCCGACAGAAATAAAAAATCAAAAGATATTGCGAGAAATTGCCAATCAAATAGCAAGGCTGTGCTTGAAGGAAAATTGAAGGGAGCCCAGTGCTCTGAAACTGTAAAATCTAGGGTGCCCAGCATATGATTTGTATGAAAAGTATGAGATCCTTCTAATTGCCCAAGGGCAAAAGTTAGGCGCCAGGGGCCACAGGGCTCTGCTAGCGCACAGCCCCGCATAGCCTGAAACACTTAACCATTAACATAGCAGTGGACAAGCCAGTAGAGCATGTATATTACGTTCATGTTTTTTAAGTAGGACAACAGCAGTTTCTTGGTGTTGCAGATGATGCACTAATGACATAATACGAAATATTAACATCAGACAGAACCCACACCACTATAAAATGGTGAGCTTTGAGTAATTTCCACGCTATGAACACCCAGTTTTCTTGTTGGAAATAAAAAAAAACCTTTATTGACCAAGCAGTTGCAGTCAAGATGGCTGGATATTGGCCTCATTCATTTTTGCATTTATATTGACCCTAACAGAGTGGACCCATGGACAAGGCCCTTTCAGGAGGATGGGGAGGGAGGGTGAGCACCTACAGTAGGTCGCTAGTCTGAATTTCAAATACGGTTGTTTTGCATTTTAAGGAGTGCATACACCATGTCCCTGTTGGTATTTAACCCATCTTAATTCTGTTTGTAGCCTTTTCATCTTGTCTTATGTCTCTGTTCCAAGGCTATGTCACTTGACAAAATTTTTTTCTAACAGAGGGCCTCAACTTAAAGCATGAACAGCCAGCAGAGAAGCAATCTGTCATTCTTTCTAAAGGCATTTAATCAGTAACAAGGTTTCCAAAACAGTCTTTCAAATCAGACATTATAAAATCCATTATTGTAAGGCTGAATCTGCAAATGGGCAAGATAAAGCAAATCTTGAGTTCTGATTGGCTCTCCAAGTAGGTAAGAAAGGCCTGTCTTGCGGTGGGAATTTCCCACATTGGTTCCACAAGAAAAAGTTTGCTGGAAATATGGTTAATTCTTTATTGACCAACCTTTTCAGTCAAGATGGCTGGATATTGCCCTGCAATTGTTTTTCCAGAGATTCCAACCCCTTTTCAAGGAAAATAGGGAGTATTTTTAGCACTGAAGGCACTCACACAAGCACCTTAGGTGTGAGCCTCCAGAGGGGATCTGGGGTATGCTCCACCAGGAAATTTGGCAAATTTAATTTATCTCAAGCAGCATTTGCTGCATTTTTGACACTATAGTGATGTTCAATGGAGAGACTTGTTGGGACATTATAGGATAGGAAAGTGTAATACATAAGGTTTCACACTCACATCACAAAAAAATACGTAAGATAAGCAATTGTCTTCCTTGTTTTCAGAATAAATCAGGAGAATCTAATACAAATCAGGAGAGCCGAAGGCAACATGTGAAATCAGGAGGGTTGGAATCTCTGTTTTTTCATAAAGGTCGACATTTAAGAAATATAAAATATATATTTCTCTGTTTTTTTTCTGCGAAACAAAAGAAAAAACAAACAATATATGTATTTCCAATACGTCAACCTTTTTGAATGTAATATATATTAACTGTATATGAGGGGTTATAATCATAAACTACATAAGGTGCTGCACATGTTGTGGCTCAGTTTTATCCCGGAATTAAATAACATTTTTCTTTGCTTTAAATTCGTTGTCAGACACTACTATAGCCAAAAAACGGAAAGTGTAAACCAAGATAAAATTAAGCTTAAACCACACAATATTAAGCTTATTTAAAAATCGAAAGTACACTATAATTTTTCGACATTAATGTTTCTGAGTAACCCTTAGTATACTTGTACAAGACCTACGTTATATATGATGGATAGCAACTAGTGTGTATTGGACAGACATCAGAGCATACCAAAGAGTACTAAACTTGGCCTGATTTTAACAAACCTTTTTCCGAAGTTTTCCACGAATGTGACAAAGCCGTTTGATGCCATCGAAACACATCGCTTCCAGCCTTCCGTTCCCTAACATCTTCAAAACTTGGCCATACTCTTAAAAGAGAAGATGATTAAGAAGAGGAATATTACTATGAGGAAACTTTGAGATCACCAGGAAGACAAACTTATTATCACGCACCTTGGCCATCTTCCTTAAACACGAGTTCGCGTTTCTCCGATTCGTTTTCATTCTTTCCTCTTCGTCGGTTTTTACCTCCCTTTCCTGAAGGAAAACAACTCAGTTAGAGGGTTCGACACCATATCACATGGTGAGAGAACTTTTCTTAGTTCAAACCTTTGTTCTTCGGCATCCTGTACTTAATTTAAAACTGTTTCTCCTTCAAGCTCTTCTCCCACGTTATCGTAAAATGGCGTCAAATGAATCTGTAGTCTTTATGGACAGCGGTATCAGCGACGAAGAAAAAATGACGGAAGAAATGTTTCTGTTGTGCAATGCGAATCCCGGAGTAATCGATAGCAATTAAGTGATTTTTATCGATTGATAACGGAAATCGGTGAAAATAGATAAACTTAATTGCTGTGTCAAATCGTCAATTTTTAATGACTTAAAACGGTAAGTCCGACATTGTTGTTTTTTGGCAATTCAGTCCTATTCAATCTGTCATGTCGAATCTTTTGTGTACGTGCTCATTGTTGACTAGTTGTTTGTACTTTTATTCTTTACACCTTTGATAGTGTCTGTGTTCTAAGAGAGATTTTGACACTGGGGAAAACAACGAGAAATACAACCTCAAATAAAAGATTTCCCAGCCATAATTTCAGACATCCTCTAGAGCCGAAGGGAAATGAAATTCAGGCTAAAAGGTTTCCCTGGATAGTTTTTCATCGTTTTCGGTTATCAATTGATAAAATCACTTGATCTCTAACGATTTTTATCTATTTCGATTTTTATCTATTGTCTTCTCCGAGAAGTAACTACCGTATTTACTCGAATAGACGCCGCCCTCAAATAGACGCCGCACTTGAGACTCAAAATATTGATAGACGCCGCCCCCGAATAGACGCCGCGTCTACGGTGAGGCGTTTATTTGAGGAAATAATGATTTCTAATAATAATTAAAGAAAAGTCTATTTCGAGTTTAAACCACAAATGGAAATTTATTTTCTTTTAGAACAACATTTTTTAGTTCAAAGTCACTGTACTTTTTTGCTCTTGTGTTAAGTTCTCTTTCAAGAATTTTTGCAACGACATTTATATATTGAGACTTGTTACTGTTACCTAGTAAAAAAGTTACCATATGAAGTACGATATTTAGTACTGAATAAAGTGATTTTTGAATAAACGCCGCCCCCGAATAGACGCCGCCCTCGAATAAACGCCGCAGCTGGATCGCGAAAAATGAAATAAACGCCGCGGCGTCTATTCGAGTAAATACGGTACACTCGGAAGTGATGTTATTTTTATCTAAATCGTGAAAAAACTGGGCGCCTACAAACTTGGCCAATATTGGTCATCAGAAGAAAACTTTAATGCGGATTTTAAACAAAAAGTAAGATTTTTTTTAACCTTTTTTTTAAAGTAATAATAAATTGTTTGATCCTTCGACTTTCAATTGCATAAATTGGATGAACAGAAGAACAGATGCATCTTCCAATATAAATCGATGAAATCGGTAAAATCTAGATAAATCGATAAACTACCCGAGTGTGTCATCAATTTATCGATTGATAAATCGATACCGATTTTTATCGATTGACTACTCCGGGAGATAATAGAAAGTCTTTCTACTATTCATGGTGCAAATGATTATGAGGGGTAACAGGGTATTTTTTCCCAGCGAACCGTAGTCAAACGAGAAAACGATGGGGGAGGGGGCGAGAAAAAGAAAGCAGAGAGAAAAAAAAGAACATTGGTAACTGGGGTGGGGTAAAAGACCAGCGAATTATCGTCTTCTTGTATATCATGTTCTACTCCAATGGATACCAAGGAAGAAGAAGATATGCTATTGCCAAAGATAAAGATAACTTTATTTTAGCGCGGTAAGAAGATCAGCATTGCTTGTGGGGTCGTGCCTACAACAATTACCAGAAAAATACGGAGTACTGAAAGCAAATGTACAATTAAAAAAACCGGGATATTTCATTCTTGGGAAATAGTGAAAGGGCTTGTGAACGGAAAACCTGATCAAATATACAAAAGCTTCTTCAGTCAAACGAAGGCAATTGAATTCTTGCAACAGCATGGTATTCAGACGTCGACCCGGCCCCGAGGAAACAGCAGAGGGACAATTAAGCCAGGACGATCGATATTCCGAAACAGACAAAGAAGATCCATTTTTACATGCTTTAGAGAAACTTTGTAAACTAAAAAATGACATGGATGCGGTTTATTTACACGATTTAATGGCAAAAAGACTAGGAAACAAACATGAATGAAAGAATGAAAAAGAGCAAAAAAACTGCCATAAGGATGGTCAACAACGGAGTCATAGACCCCATACGAGACCGACCACCTTAAAAAGAAAAGGGAATTATTATGTACATCAAAAAAGTAAAATGACAACTGACATATAGATGTCTACAGAAATATTCGAGAGTATTTTCGAGTAGACAAGAAATCCGACACTTGCTGCTTGAAACTACAATGATACTTGAAGCACAACGCGGAGTTGACGGTGATAACGCATTCCACATATCAACAATCCTATTAAAAAAGCTAAATTTGAAAATGTCTGTCCTAGCATAGTTCTTCTTAAGTACACAATCATCCCTACCTCTCAAAGCCGGAGTGTCTATCAGAATCCGAGTTAAAGTGAATACTGTAAATGTAATGTATCCATTAAGAACTTTATAAAAAAACATCAAACAAAAAACGTCTGTCCTGTATACAAGTTTCATCACCAGTTTTAGAAATAAACTTAGTGGCTCTTCGCTGAATTCTTTCTAGTGTTGATTTTCCTTGCTGTGTGTGGTGACCAGATAACGGTTGGCAGTCAAAACTCCAGTTGGGATCTTACCAGGGCACAATATACAGCGTCCTTAGGGTAGCAACTTCATTCAGACCTTTGCAAGTCCTTTTAATAAGACAAAGAATCTTGTTAGCTGTATTAGATGTTTTATCAACATGAGCACTCCAGGACAGTTTGTTACTAGTGACTAAGCCAAGATCACCGAATTCCCAAGTTTCTTCCAGAGTGTTGTTATTAAGCTTAATGTCAGAGAGAAGAGGCATACTTTTCTTGGTGATACGCATCAATTTACACTACTTAACATCATAATCCATTAGATTTTGCTGACTCCAGGCAAATAGATTGTCTAGATCCGGCGGAAACTCACATTGGTCAGCTGGACAGTTTATCACTCTAGATCTTTTACAGTCGTCAACAAAGACTAATATTTAAGGGAGGTTATCTACAAATGGCATAATGTGAACAAAGGAACAACCCAGGGAAGTGTAAGTGGGCCCCATCTTTTTAATTTGTTTATTAACGATTTGGCCATTAGGGATAATGACGCCTGCCACGCAGGCTAATGCTAACGACACCACCTTGCTAGTCAAAGTATGTAAAAATGAAACAAATCTTTCTCAAGAGGTTGTCAATCAGTTTTTCAGTTGGACTCAAGATAATGCCATGGCATGTAATCCCAAAAAATGCAATGAACTGATACTTTGCAAGATGGTTGCTCATGATATAGACCCTGTGAACAATATAACACAAGTTTCATGTTTAACAGTGTTAGGGGTTACCTTACAAAGTAATCACAGATTTAATGAGTATATTAAGGTTAAGCTGCAGGAGGCCAATAAGTGTCTTTATGTTATAAGATGTTTACGTAAAGAGGGATACCAACAACCAGATGTAGATTACGTTTTTAGATCAACTGTTTTACCGAGACTAACGTAAGGTCTTCCTGTATACTCCTCCTCAATACCTGAATTAACAACAGTCCAGAATTTTCTGCAACGCTGCCTTAAAAGAAATTATATTTCGTACCAAATTGACATATATAATAACGTATTAGAAGAGGTAGAACGCTCACTATTCAAGAAGATCTCCAGTATGCCCGGTCACCCTCTGTACCCTTTCGTCCCCTAAACGAAACAAAGCTCAGCGCGCCTCCGAGTTCCTAGCAGTCAACTCCCCAGGGTTAATACCGAGGGTTTTAAAAATAGGTTTTTAACAGGCTATTTTTCAAATATAGAGTAGCTATTTAATGTAATGTGGATCTTGAATGTTAAATTCAATGCTTCCACATGGAATTTTTTAAGCTCTGTAATTCTTTCTACTATTTTTAATGTAAGTGTTCTTGGTTTTAGCGTGTATTTTTGCTTAAAAAACAATAAAGACCTTTTATTTTATTTTATTTTATTTTTATTTATTTTATTGTGTTCCCGGGCATTACTACATCAGGTAAATCGCTGATGAAAATCATAAAGAATAATGGCCCTAATAAGGGACCCTGGTGTAAACCAGAAGGAATGACAGACCACTGAGGTAGAACTTTGACCCTGAATGACAACCCTTTGTTCTCTTTAGGTCAAGTAATCCTTACACCAGTTAAGCAAACTACCAGAGATGCCACAATTGTAAAGCTTCTGCAGAAGAATAACATGTGAAACTCTATCGAATGCCTTCGCGAAATAGGAACACCACATCCACCTGTAGTCTGTCATCCAAGGCCTTTTTCCACTGATGATGTGTAATCACTAACTTGGTAGCACATGAACGACCCTTAACAAGCTGTTTGAAAGGGGCCACATGAGAATATTTATTGGACGAGGTTGAGCAAAATATCGTGATCTATCTGTCTGTGGCGAGCAGATCAATTATTTGCCGAAGCCGAAGGCTGAGGCAAATAATTGATCGGCGAGACACGGACAAATCACAGTATTTTGCGATAACCGAGTTCAATAATTGTTTTTCATTCGATCACCGAGTTTGTTTTTTTTTAATGAATATCCTCGGGAAGCGAAGCGATCTGCCATTTTCACGCAAGAGCGATCACAAGAAGGAGAAAAGCACGGTTTCCTTTACGCACGTGCAGAATATTATTTGCAGCCAAACACAGTTGGACGGCATTGCGCATGAGCAGACCATTATTTGTAGGCAGTTATTTGCAGGTCACGTGGTGGGCTCTCGGCCAATTATGTACCATCTTCTCTTGACATTTACTAGGGATGGATAATAACAGGGAGACAGATCGATAATTCTCCGGGTGACATTTTTTTTTTTTCCATAAAGAAGGGACTCTCCCACTTCTAAGAGATATG